GTATATTCTGCAAACAGCCAGAAACGAGCGATCACACGAACACAATTTAAAACGTATATTTACCAATTATATGTATATAATCGATATTGCCATGGAAGTATTTTTAAACATATAATCGATAAGTTAGTCAATCGACTGCCATTGAAATATTTAACATTTAATCGATAAGAGTAGTTTAGTTAATTAACAATTATACAGTATTGTTCTACAAATGGATCCCAAAAGTTACCACTTATTATTCATATCGGGGCATAACACACCCCTCCTTTTCTGAAGATCTGGAGTTGAAATCCGGACATTAAGATTTCTGGGTTCATCCTCCCCCAAGAAACAGTGTCGGGTCCTCATATGCCCAGGCAGAATAAGAAACAGGTGTAACAACTCCCTGTAGTTGATGGCGGTTAAGTTCTCCGTCAACTTTCAATAATGCTGCGTACGGCACTGGTCTCTTTGAACGGAAGACAGGTTTAGCTACAGGTTTCAACCGAAGTGTTGCTTTCATAGCAGTGTACTGACCCAATACAGGCTGGAAAATGGTTGAAAAGTTTGTCATTAGTTCTTTCGAATATGCTTCAGGTTCATGAGGTTGTTTTACCAGACGGCATACAGTTGTTAACGGAGCGTCAGCTAAATGTAGTCAATCAAATCAGACTAAACTAAGTACATGAAGATCAGCTGGTGTGATGTAGCATACCCCGGTAAACGTCGAATCGTGAAAAGACACTTTACAATCTAGTTGTCCCAACAAACGAAGATAATCACCTCATGCAGTTCGAGGTTTCTGTGTTGTTGGAATCATGCATGATCTTCCCATTCTGATCCAATATTTTCGTGGGAGAATCGTTACGTCAGATGCAGTGTCTATTTGCGACCTAAACGGGCGTCCATCAATATTAATGTTAATAAATTTCCTCTCGAATGGAATTCACTACTAACAGCTTGCTATTATACTCAATGAATTCATGTTAAATCTAGGCGTAGGCTTTCTGGTACCTTTGGAGCTGCTCGGCTTCTCTTTTCGACAAAAACCATCTTTATGACCCACCGCATTACATTTCCTGCACCGATGTTGTTTATATGGACAGCTTCGAACAAAATGCCATGCACCACAGTACCAGCATGGGGCAGGAGGATTTGTTTTTGTCTGTCGACCGGAACTAGATGTCACTGAGGCAGATTTATGCGAGTTGGGTGGTTGTTCGACCACATGAACTTCGAAACGATCTGAACCACCACGCTGGACCATCGTAGTGTCACGCTGTAGATTGATTAAGCGTTGATATTTGTTTGCAATATCATTAAGGGTTAGTTTTAAGTCTTGGTCCAATCGACTTAGCAAACGTGTTCTAATGTCACTGAACTTCTGCGATTGAAGGCTGCAGATGAGAAAGAGGGCTTTAAATTGGTCTTCCGTAAGCGAATTCAACCGGAAGCGTTCGTATTCTCGGTTGAAGATACTCGCGTGTGTGAAAACGTCAGCATCTTCGTTCATAGTGAGCTTTAAACATCGATAGCGCGCATTGATTAGTGCGGAGTTGGCTCCGAATTGTTGGCTCAATGACTGGACAGCGTCTGAGAATGAGCGATCACGTGGGTTTAGAGGCAGAATTAGGTTGCAATACCTGTCTAGTTCACTAAGACCCAACTTTCGAAGCAGCAAGCGGACCTTCCACGCATCATCCTGATTAGCAAAGTCTAATTTGAATAAGTCTCCGTAACTTTGAAACAACATATCAAACGTGACATTGGATTCTGGATCGTAATGAAACTCGGAGATACTTTTATCGATACCATCAACTGATGGTGCAGTATTAGTAGGATTAAAACTGCTTGGTTGAGTATTAGACGTAAGCTTTGTATCTGCGGTGCTGGGACGCATCAATAGCTAGCTTGCTAGTCTTCGGTCACTGAGTCTTTGTTCTCGTTCGCAGATTAAGTGAACTCATGATAGCTTCAAACCTAGCAGATTAAAAAAGCTGTATAACGTCTATGAATCTGTAGACAAATCGTGATCAGCTACCAACGTAGAGAAATAGAAGATAGTTGCGTATCCACATAATTTGATTTCAGTTGGGCATGCAAATCACTGTGTTCCTGTTCAGATCACTTCGAGGTCCTCTGAGGAGTTTAAAATTCGCTAAGCATCCTAAACGACATCAGTCATTTTACGGAATGGGCCGGTTATGCGGACAGATATCAGTCCTACAAATCACGAACAGAAAGTAGGATGCCTGCCAGTAGAAGTTTGAAATCATGAGAATAGAAAGTTAAACAGAGAACAATATAAATAACAAAAAGATTGAAGGAATGACGAAGTGTGTAGAGGACATTTCAAGGATGGAGTGCAAATGACGTAATTAACGTATGAATTTCGTGATCAAATATTTTCGACTGATTGTAAAATCCTATGATAAGGAACCTTGAACATGTTCTACATTTTCATCATGTTCTTTCAGCTTTGTAAACCGGTGAAAATCAATGCTATAGTTGATACCAGCGTTAATTAATAGGATAGAATAATCACCAAAATCAAACAGCCGACTAATTTACAATGACGTCTTAATTGGATAACTTCCGCAGCCACCAATGAATGAACATATTTAATTTATTTATGTCGGCTACCATGGCATGAACGTCCTGGCAACTTTCATTACGCAACCGTTACTACTGTTTTGTCGTTCAAGATGAAACTTTATTTTCAATGTCCAGTTTCTTCATCATGAACCTATCAATCTTAGACCATTGTTGAAATTTTGTAAATACTGAATAACTTCTTCATTTCAACGTGCGACATTAACTCAAGGCCTTCGATGTCGCGTGTGAACGTCCAGGAGTTAGACTACGTAGCTGACATCCAACAGCGCTTATTGCCATTCTCAATTAATCCACAACATTTAGCGATCATAGCTTCTACCGTTTTGTTACTCACTTATAGGCATTCTCGCTTGTAGTATTGGGATTTATCCAGACTTCGCGCAGCCATATACCGACTATGTTGTTTACAGGTACACAGCAGATTGCAGTAATAAAACGGTTTATGGCCTCGCTCGATTTAGGTGTGTGGATTTATCAAACATTCCTATCTTATTCACTCAAAGCCTGAAGACATGCTTTTACGCTATAATGATGGATAAAATAAATTCTCTTCTCTCAGTGTTACAGCACACAAAATGAATTAGTTCTTGCTCTCTGAAAACCTGCATTAATGACAAAACGGCAAGAACACCCCAAGCTAAAACAACTAATACTTTTGTTCATGACCCTTTACGTATATCCTAATATATAGCAAACGTTTGAGTCAATGAATTCAAAATGTCCGATGAACTAGAAGGAAAAAGTACAAGGAATTCAGGCTGATTGTGTCAACTTGTCAAGCTAATCCGAGATCTGATTAGCGGCAACCAATTTTATTTTCCCCATTCACGAATGACTGATACCAATGACTACGATGCAAGAAGGAAATCTTTCTCGGAATGGGTACGAGAATACTTGAGTAACGATATATTTCATGAGTAAGCTTATAATATCAGTCAGCAATATACAAAAACTACATCATATTTGCTCTGTACGGTGATCGATAAATTCAAACTTATGTCTATGGTTGTGTTAGGACACTGAAGATTCAGGAAAGAATATAATTTTGTGTAATGGCAAATGACTAATTAAATAACACTGGGCTGCAAATGTGTCACAATTATGTTAGAGAACTGAGAATGTGGAACTTAAGTGAAAAAGATAGTGATTCTATTTATACAGCAACTTAAGCTTATGAATGAAAACCAACTTTCCACCACAAGCAGGGCAAACAGGAATTCATGGGTGACTAGAACAACAAGTTACGGCTGATAGCGGTGACTTAGAGTGAACCACAATTTGCGAGGATCAGCGTAATAACAAGACATCATTTGCCGATAAGCACTATTTTATCATTTTCATAAATCCGTTACATAATGTGCCCCTCACAATGAATTATGTAACGACAGGACTTAACACACTAGGTGGTGATGTGATTTCCTCGAATCGGAAAAAGAATTCGTTGACCACATTTAACACATTTGACTTAAGTTTAGAATGTAAGATTTACTAACCTGTCAAAAAACGCAGTACAAAAATATCCAATAAATACAAAAATAGAATGATATTCGTACAAAATCAGAAGTAATAGATTTCTCCTAACGACTAATGGATTCAGTAGTCAAATTTTCATGAAAAAGTGTATATTTTTACGTCTTCTACCTAACCACGGCATAATACGATATGCAATTAACAGCAGTTGAACGTGTCGAACCCCACGGTAGGGTAAGTTAATAACTGATGAGAGTAAAATATTCATAGAAAAACGTGGACATTTATAGATATTATCATTGGCTATAGCATCGATATAATTCAGTTATTCAGCAAGAATACAATTTATGTAATCATCTAGTCGTAGCACGCCACGTTAATATTCTAGAAGGCTCTATCAGGTTCTAGTTAGATGGAATCTCTTCAGCATCTTAAGAACCTCTTGCGGCTTTGCCGTACTCTTTGAGCCATTCAAACAAATATATCAATTAATCTTTATTCATACGTCATCGAAAAATAATTTTGGATATATTGGAGCGACGGTATTATGTTCGACCGGTTAAACCGATTCACATTGACACATCGAAGAACTGGAGGTGACTTGATTACAGTATCCAAATTTGTTAATGATAAATTTGCACTTGACATGCCATCATTTTTCTTCTTTTATAAATAAAGGACTCTACAAAGAAGGTAACAAACCCAGAACAGGTTACTTGTCAGCTGACTATCAACTTTTCCATCGAATCAACACCCAGTGGGATTCATTAACTCAGTACATGACTGAAGCTGAGTCTGTTGGCTCTTTCAGAAAAATGTTGGATGAACCGAGAGACGAACATTTCCAGGACTAACGTAAGCCACCTAGCCTTCTGTCTTTTCCAATTTGCAACTGCTTTTGTTTTACCCTACAAAGGTTTTTACATTCCACCGTAGTTGTGGTTTTCAAGGTCATCAAATCTATGGGTGATTTCAAAGTACTGTGTCCCGAGGTTCCTTTTTAAATTTTCGTTTCACTGAAAACTGTCATGAAATCGTCATTAGCAGAGCAACCGAATTTGACACGCAAAACACAACGATAAGGCTTGTTTTTGTTCATGCTATACGCCGGGGTGATTATAGTCTGGATGACAAGAATAATATAAATAATTATGTTTGTGTTTGACAGTATAATCATACAAACATTTGCCACTATTGATAATTTATTCACCTAAATTTTCGTCCTTCATATGATAATTCATAGTTCTTCAACTTCACTTTTTATATCGCTCAATACTATAAGTTACAGAAAAATACACGCATATTTTTTAGTTAGTGAATTTCTTGACAAAAGCGTTTATCATTGCGGAGCTCCATAGTCCTATTTTGTATTATCGAACGATAAAACTTTATCTGAAAAGTCTTGGCACTGTTTGCAGAGATTTACGATATGCGTTCTAAACGTTTATAGTGAAACAAACCTGAGGAAACGTTTGAAGCATAACCACGATATATAACTCATACATAATGATGTTAATATGATCACACACTTCATTTTGGAAACTGATAAATAATCAAGCACAAATCAGTTTCAGTTTGGAAAGGACAGGATGCTTGACGGCCCGTGTTAGTCCTGACAATGGTGGTCTCTCAGTTGATCCAAAGTTCTTTTGAAAGAGTCGGCAGATGGAGCCTCAACCACGTATTGAGGTAATGAATTCCACTCGTTGATGATTCCATGAGAAAGTCGATAGTCAGTCGACAGGTAATTTGTCCTGGGTTTGTGAACATTTTTGGAGTGTCCTCGTAAATTCTCTGTTTTGGAAGACAATAAGAATGAGGACATATCAGACGCAAATTTATCACCAAGCAATTTGAAAACTGTAATCAAATCGCCTCTAGTTCTTCGATACGACAACGGGAATACGTTTAGCTTGGCCAGTCGAGCATCATACGGGAGCTTCGCAATTCCGGGAATCAGCTTAGTTACTGTTCTCTGAACCTTTTCCAAAAGCTCACTGTCTTTTTTAAGCAGGGGCTAGCAGCTTGCATACAGTACTCACGTTTAGGGCGTACGAACACAGTATACAAAGCCAAAAACATTTTAGCGAATTCACTAAAAAGAGTTTGACATGACGGAAACAGGTTGGTGTCGTATTAAAGGCAATTGAGAACTTTTCGATAAGTAGAATTTCATTCCTCCATAAACTACAGTGGTTAAATTCAAGTTTCTATAACTAGCGAATAACGATGTAGCCTTGCTATAAAATATTTTATTGCTCTTAGACTGAAAAATTAGCTCTGGAGTTATTATAAATGTTTGTGGGTTAATACCTGCCAAAAAATAGGAGCAGATCGCTTAGCTGCAAATCCATCTTTAATAAACTTCAAAAAGTGATATAATTCATTTCAATTCCATGTACGTGGGTTTGTAATACATCCATAATATCCTTAATATATAAATTCCTGCTAGTATAAATTTGTAATCCTGTGGTTCCAGTGAATTTCATTTGTCTCAGCGACTTCAAATAAATGAATTGCATTAAGCAGTTGGCTCGAAAGATTAAAAAGTTTTATATTTATGTTTAACTTAATTGATTAGTACATATACTGTGTGTGCCCATCTACCACCTACCTCGGAGCACGATGTTTTCTGGTCTAGAAGAAAGCCGAAAGAAGTCTAGTAGTGCTCAAATCAAGGTCTATGATCAATCTATGAATTCATTGACCGTTACGCTGAGAAAACTAGAAAAATGAAGACTAACAGGTTCGTGTCCACGCTACTATTGTTACAAACGGTTAAAGGCTTTGGGTGATTTGGCTTAGAATTGTCTACAGTAGGAGGGATATATTCACTCTTTGTCTTTCAGCAGATTTTAAGTTTCTGAATAACATTAAATACCTTGTAGAACTTTTACTACATTAATCCATATTTTCTCCGAAAATCGTGTCATTAATCTCCAACCAATTTAATAACATGAATAGTGTTACTGCTGTCAGTGTGGTTGACAACTTCCTGATAACTAAATGAAAAGCCACGTCTTTTTGTAGCTTAAGGAAGATAATAGGTACTTAGATTGTGATATATATATATATATATTTCTTTGAATTCATGAAAAATAACAACTCAGTGATATGTCACTGAATTATTCCGTCCTTGTTACTACTATTGAACGTGTTGAGTTTTGATCATTTGTTCTATCCAACAGCAATTTTTGTAGTAAAATGTGTTATCTCGTAGTAGCGACAGTTTCTACCCCAATTTACCCACTTTAACTCTAAAATATACGTCAGGAAATAATTTGGTATCTAATTAAATAAAGGTCTATCCTCTACATGCATGCTTTTATTTGTGTTCAACCGTAAAAGTAAAAAGAGAAGATATGTGACTGTCTGTACGTCGTTATCTTACGTGAATTACTTCAATATAAAACATCATCTAAGAAATCCACACTTGAATTTGATTCCAAGTAAAATCAGTCATCATGATCTTGAGAGGTAACGCTTTCCTTTTAGACTCAAATATTTACGCTTAATGATCATTTAAGTCACCTGAAATCAGAATACCATGATGATGACATCTCTAAACGGGGCAAACGTGTTTGATATCGATCAGAATATTAACGTATTTCCAAATGATTCATTTATCTTTAATGAGTGAACATAATTACGTTCATCCATCTTTGTTTTATTCATAGTACGGCTATAATAATAATGGATAAAACTCGATTGGAAACATCCCTTTCAAAATATGAGCAACATGACGAAAGTTTAACATCAATGGCTCTTACCTCCAGAATACTAGATAACTTAAACGTACTTAAATGCAAACTGGACCCCGATTTAGTTAACAATAGTAGATTATATCATGACGAAAAAAGTGGTTTTGGTTTTAACGAATCGAAACCTTTTGTACTCAAGTTTGTTGAGCAGAAAAATAAATTATTCAGGTAAAGTTTAGCTATCATTCTATGAAATATATTTGGCTCCTTTTAACGGGCATTACTTGTGATCATTGGTTGGTATATGACATTGGATAATATTCATTGGCCTCGTGATTTCCGGTGAATATCGGCTTTCACTAAGAAGCGCCACAATTTTTTCTAAAAAGTGATCCTTCAACTTTCAGGACAGAGTTCAAACACTTTAAATTGTTTTTCTGACTATCTTTCTTTTAACAAGATTGTTTTCTACGGGTGAGGTTGCTGGTCCTATCTCTAGACCTTCTCTTTTTCCCGGACTTAAGTCCAGCAGTAGCCTCAGAAAGGCTAGTGGTTGATCTAAAGGGTTTGAGTGGTTAAACACTATTCAATCTAAGTCTAAATTCCAGTCATAAAATATTGTATGACTAGTTTGTTAACAGTAATTGGTTAGATTTTTTAAGCCTTATCCACATGAAATGGCAAACCTAATTTTGGTTGAAAAAGCGATTGTTTGAATGCTCCTCAGAGTTCAGTGTGTAGAAACGTTTATTTCCTAATTATAAGCATTTCCAGTGAAATAACTTTTTGCTGACTAGTAACAAATATTATGATTCCTAGTCTACAGTATGAAACAGAATGTACGGATCAAATAACGCTGGTACTAATAGCTAGATTGACCTGAGATGTAATACGTGCATTATCAAGAGGATGAGATCAATCATCAGCTAACCTAGGATTCCTGCTAGTTGACACGTATCTGTATGCTCTATCTGTTATCATGGGATAACAAATGAAATATATGTCAACCTCGCGAAATACCGGTCACATTTGTATTGAATCTTCTTAACGGATCGATTTCAGTTGAGTTACCATTAAAGACCAGGAAGCAATAAAAGTCTATTTTCTGTTCGTATGAAACGGCGTTTACGACAATGGAAACTAGATAATGTTCATCAGCAAGTGGTTGTGGTCCGCGTGACTATCGTAACCATTGGTTGGAGATTCTGAGTGACATGACTCAAAATCAATCACAATAGCGTCGGTGTATACACTCCTCTGTCTTCCCTTATGCCGTGAGATTTAAGTGACTTTATACCTTTTTTTCTGCATCATATCTTTATACACAATCTTTTTTATACATTTCTATCATTGAAGTAACTACTTCTGTGAATCCAGTGTTCATCTTGTTGTGGTAATGAGTATGATGTGGCTACTTTAACCGATGTATGTATGTGCCTGGTTCTATGTTGTAGCTAACTGCTTAGCTTTTAAACTACTTAGCTTTAACCGAATGATTCATATTTCCGAATTCTATCACCTTCTGGCTACAAACACAGCTTTATTATTATTATTATTATTATCCTTTATCTTAATAGAAACCAAGCAAACCATGAAAACATCAATGCTACTCCTATCAATACAATATCCCAAGGTAAAACATCTTCTATAAAGAAAAAAAAATTCTTACCAAAATTAAATCGCACTGAACATTTACTAGCAATAATTCCTAAAACTGGAACAGTCAACAAAATCCCGATTGATTATCAAGTTAACCAACGTAGGTTACAATCTCCTTTCTTGAATTTCTATAGATTATATAATATAGCAATAGTAATGATGGATAGTGGCTAGCAGTGGAATCCAGGACGCACATTTCGTCCTATTTGGGACTCGTCAGCCGGATTTGCCTGCATCTCAGAGTTGATGTTCACTCTGGGACTCGAATCCAGTACCATTCGCTTCAAACGCAACCACGTTATCCGCTCAGCTACTGAATCCTGATAGCCACTTGCTTGTGCAATAGAGTGAATTTAAATTCACTTGGTATTGTTTGACTTGTATCTTCCCGTCTAGCTGACGAGTCCCAAATCGGACGAAACGCGCGTCCTGGATTCCACTGCTAGCCACTATCCATCATTGCTTAAAAAAGCTTGTGAATTAAGGCAATATCTAGGCATACGCACAATTTGCACATATGCCAATAAGAGACTGATCAATCGCAGTCTTAAACCTCAATGGGAAGATACAAAGCAAACAGTATCAAGTGAGTATAGCAATAGTATCTCAAAGTAACTAGTATTTATATTTTAAAATAGAAAGGTCAGTTTGAATATGGAAGCCGGTTTGAGATTAAAGAACATTGAACATAAATTTGGTATCTCTTCACTATTTCACTCAATAGTAAGTTAGTTTTCTACAGGATGGAGTCACTAATCCCATGCCCAACCGTCCTCTTATATCCGGGCTTGAGATCGGCAGTAAATCTAGAAGGGCTCTAAGTGAAGTTTATGAGAACTAGTGATCCTAAAATATGCTTCAAGATATAATAAAAAAATACTCATTTTCTAGTTTTAATCACGTTCGAAGCGTCTTTGGTGTATTCGTAACCTATTGTTTTCATCAAGTTATGAATTAGAGCGGATCCAGTTACTCAATTACAACGTAGGACCAGACATATATGCATCGGTCCAAGTTTCCATAACTCATTAGCACAGCAAGATGAACACGGGATTCATAGAAGCAGTTAGCTCAATGGTGTAAATATTAAGGAAAGATTCTATGTGTAGATATAGTGAAAACATATCCTTAATTCATAGAACTTGAGAAATCCTTATTATCGATACTCAGTATATTGTTTGGTAGGATTTTCTTAAAGAATTCCAAATATTATCAGAAGAGGGTTTTGTGGATTCATAAGTCGGTTAAGGCTAGACCACTCTAAAAAACCTGAAAGCACTGGTTAGCCGTATCGTCCCAATATGAGATTCCTCAGAAGTGAGCACTTCATTTTATTCAAACACATAAACATTGGTACAAGGATGCACCAGATAGATATGCACCATATAAATAATTCGGTTTGTGTGTTGGCTGTGATACTGCCCGGATGCCCAAACCGAAGCAAGTGGAGCAACATCAGGTGATGCAGTCCCATAGTAGACGGTGACCAACGACTGGGTCATACGTTATTTGTTCCTTCAGGATACTGGAGCCCATGTGCACCATTTGTATGGAATCAGGGTTTCCCAACTCTTCTAGGTGAATCCCATGTATCCACGATTCCGTACACGAAATTCGAACCCAAGCTATTCCATACTCTTAGAAAAGAAATCGATTAGTGACAAATATCATTGATACATTTAATCAATCTTTACAAATACTTACCTTCAGTATTACACTTTAATTTTTCTATTTCATTAATTAGAGAATCCCAATAAAACAACAATTGATCCTTCTAATGAATGTTATATTGATCACCAGTGAGTTCTAACTAGTTTTGATTGAATATTCTTTGATAAATCTTAAAGACTAAAGCTTTTGCATCAATAAGACTCATGATTTGAATAAATATAGTTCAGATAGGATAAGAGAAACATGAATACAATTATAGTTTGATATCATGAATAGGTCAATGTTAGACCATCATTGAAAAGCTGGAAACATTGGACAGACGTTTTGTTCTAGTGTAAGGGACTCCTCAGCAGTACTTATCCATGATCATCCACATAAGACTCAAACCTTAGACCTTCGGTCTTCCGTGCGAACACAGCCTTTAGACCACTGAGCCGGCATCCAACGGCATTCATGAACGAGACCGAAGGTCGTGGGTCCGAGTCCTACGTGAAGAATCTTGTATATAATATGCTGAGGAGTCATATACTAGAACGAAACAGCAGTCCGGTGCTTCTAGGTTTTTCATGATGGTCTAAGATTGATCCAATCATGATATCAAGATATAATTTTCTTTGTTATCTTTATTCATTTATTATTAATATTGGTCTCTCGGATACAAGGCTAATCTATTTAGCACTCACCAAACCATATTATTTCCTTTTAATTTCATATAATTTAATTTTTAAAAAAACACAGTCTTCCACTAGATATTCGATTGACTTTGTAATCCTACTATTATTTCTCTCATCCTATCTGACCCATATGATGGATGTTCGCGTGATACCATGGATTGGTTGAAGTTAGACATTCACACCATTGGATATCGGCTTAGTGGTCTAAAGGCTAAGTGTTCGCGCGCAAGATCGCAGGTCTTAATTTTGAGTCCTGTGCGAGGGATCATGAATGCTGAGGAATCTCACAATAGGATGAAATTGCCATCTAGTGCTTCCAAGTTTTCCATGGTGATCTAGTTTCAATTGACTCATGATCTCAACTATTGTAATTAATGTAATATCCACCAAGAGACCTCTTCTGATATACTATTTAGTTTTCTTTTCATCTCTACTATTGTTTATCTTTTCTATACAATATCAGAATACATCTTCAGTTCAATACTAATGATATCCATGACCAATTGAAAATTATACCTTACTGTAAAAGTAAGTTTCACCTTCTTTTGTTATAAAATCAACATGATCAGAAGATTAATATTTGATCGAAGAATATTCGTATTGACAAATTCTCTTGAAGTTCGATGAGATTATAATTTATGGATGACCTTTGAGCGATGCTAAAGTGACTTACAGAATGTTGACCTAGTTACTAAGGCTAAATGAGGATTATACAACAGTTTGAAGAATAACGATTATGATTTATGGTCGACGGTTGAGATTAGGAATTAGATTTAGGGTTTTTCATAACGAACTGATATCAGTTATAATAGCAAAAACGTTATTTAGCTAAATGGATGAATGAATTTTGCGCCAAAATACAAGACGTACTATCTCAAATCTGATTGGTTCGTCCATCAATGATAATCTCACCATGTTAACTTGAATCAGCTTATATGTTAAGTGAAAGTATTAAGATCCATGATCAGAATGAATATAGGTCAAATAGGGTGAGAGGAACAATAGTAGAATGAATCCAAAGTAAATGAATCATTTATAGGGGATGATGTTTAACCAATAGTAATAATAATAATAATACAGATATGTGAATGAAGATAACAGAGACAATTGTAGTTGACTACGAAAGGTCGTAAGTACAATAGTCAAATTAGGTCATTCAAGAGATAAAATTACTATTGAATAATTGACCTTGAGATTGAACAGGGGAAGAGGAGTAGTTGAAGATATTTCGTCCGTACACTTAGCTCCGATTTCTTCATCAGGATAGTTACTGCTTTAGCCGTTTAAAAGACTTGGATGCCGGCTCAGTGGTCTAGTTGGTTAAGTGCCTGACACAAGACTGATCGGACCTGGGTTCCAATGTCGCGGGGTGCGGGATCGTGGATGCGCACTGCTGAGGAGTCCCATACTAGAATGAAGCGAGCGTCCAGAGCTTCCAGGTTTTCTATGGTGGTCTAGATTCAATTGACTCATGATTTCAATCAGTGAGATTTGAAATGTGACAAGTTTTTGGCAAAAATATTACTGACCATATAAATAATTGGAAAAGGATTGGCTTATACTGACATTATGACCAGTTTGTACTAAATAAGCGAATATCGAGCTGTTCACTTTCTTCATCAAACCTTTGTTTAACCACTCTGGGAGGTGTTTACGAGCTCGAAAATGTAAATTCCTAGAATTTCGACCAATATAACTTGCTCCACAGGAGCAGTCAAATTGATTCATCTTTCCAAAGGTGGTCTAACATCAAACGGTTCATGATCTCAATCAAAAAACCTAATAATCTCCACAACCCCTATACTAGTCATCTTTCGGTCTCGGTGTCACCATTGGTTCTGTAGAAAACACTGGTCGTAGTTCTCCAGCGTTGAATATTTTTTGAATTATTCTAAATAATTTCTGAGTTAATATTTCGCTATCCACAACCCCCTCTGAATTGTAAGCGCATGAACAAGGATTTCGTATTCATCGTTTGTATTTCGTCTATTCTCACCTTCGTGATCATATATTGGTTGATAAACTTTCCAGTGTATCCTTTCTCCCTAAGTATATTACGCAAGGTGCTTAACTCTACTTCAACTATATCTGTAGAACATATAGTGCATATTCGGTGATTGAGAGTTTTGATCAGGTTTCTTTTGTACTGAAGAGATTCAAAGTCAACGAAACGTGTGTATTGCCCTGTCCATCGTTAAAATGTTAACTTCTACTATTATCTACTTTATCAGTTATTGCTCAAATTAGTAGGATCTAGAATACTATGTAGAAATCTAACTAATTACAAAGTGTTATAACTTGTGTCTTTGTGCCCCTATCAATATTTATGACGTAATGATACCGTTAACTAGAGAATTGCTTTCTGATAGTAATGAATTCAATCTAATTATTTATTCACCATTAACATGAACGTATTCGTTTTCATGGAACATAAATATTAATTGTGAATGTGTAAACTATATTCTTTTGTAGGTAAACAAGTGAAATTTGAAGCAAGTTATCCAAACACAAATGTAAGTTCAATGTAAAACAAAAAAGAATCGGTATTAAGGTATTCACATCAAAATCCATTACCGACTGGTTTTGGAGATGGTTGGAAGAAAGTTATGGGTGGCCAAACCAAAATATAGTATCAGTCCACAAAGTCATTAACTTCTAGTCTGAGCCATGTTAGTAGATGCATATTACTTGGTTAAGGTCCATGTGACTGTCGTAACCAATGTTTGAAGACTCTGGGTGACATGGCTTAGAATCGATCTCAATCGCGTAGGTGTGTATACACTCTCTGTCTTCCCTTAAACTAAGAGAATAAAATTTCTTTATATTTTTCTTTCTACGAAAGAATTCTTTCTTCCTGTATCATATCCTTATATGCAACCTTTCTTTTATATATTGCCACCATTTAAGTAACTACTTCTATGAATCCGGTGTTCATCTTGTTGTGCTAATGAGTGAGGCATGGTAACTTAGACATACCTAATCCTACATTATAGCTGAATGAATGAAACAAACTTTTATTGAGAATCATAAAAATCTAACAATTCAGAATCATTAAGCTTAACAGACGGAACAAGCTTCAACTGTGTCGATCTACAAATTATCGATCAATTAAACCAATATCACAAATCTGATATAAAATTCAGTGTTTTGTCAATATTAAAATTTCCACAAAACACCTGATAATAATTATCTGCTCACTAGTAACTGACTTCAAAAGATACTCCTGGAGTTCTAGTGAGAAGTTGTGACAAGTGGAGTTCACCCAGGTCTGTTGTGAGATATCAACTCACTGAAGACAATGGTGTACGGTGGCGCAACTTCGTGGATTAGTTGAAGTTAGACATTAACACCATTGGACGCCAACCGGCTCAGTGGTCTAGTTGGTTAAGTGCCTGGCGCGCGACTGATAGATCCTGGGTTTGAATCTTGCGAGGGGCGAGATCGTGGATGCGAACTGTTGAATAGTCCCATACTAGGACGAAACGACCGCCCAGTGTTTCCAGGTTTTCTATGGTGGTCTAGCTTCAATTAACACATGATTTCAACCAGTGAAATAATAAAATGACATATTTAATCGTGTTGTTTAGGTAGATATAACAAAGAACTTAACCAATTTAATTCAATTGGATCCAAAAGAAGAGATTGTTGTCAGGGAATATCAAGATGGAGATTTTAAAACGACTGGAATTCAAGGACAGAATAAATTTGATTATAACTTGATTAAAAAGAAAACAATAGTAAGTTGACAAATAGAATCAATTTCTTAATACAATTCGATACTACTTATCTATGTTTTAAGTAGTTAATCTAAAATAGTAAAAATAGTCATGTAAATGGAACAAACATTGATACAAGGAGGCCTCAAATAGATATGCACCACATAAACAATTCAATTTGTGTGAGAGCTGGGATACTACTCGGGTGCTCAAACAGAAGGAGGTGGTTTTCTTTTGGGAGCGCCAGTTCTCTCAAGATAACAGGAACACCTTGCTGACTAGCGTCCAGGGTCCGGGGTTTCCTGTTGACTACCTCCAACCAACGTCTTATATCCCACCTTATGTTCTCGTATACTACAACAAGTCTAAGGATAAGATTTCGTAAGACAAATTTTATGTCTTAAAAAGAAACAATTCACTAAACAAAGATCCGGCTGATGAATCCAGAAAAGGACGAAACGCGCTTTGTCATAGATTCCACTGCTAACCACTATCTATCTTAGCTTATTTTAAGATGACGTAATGAGAAAAAAAAGAGAAGCAGTTATCAACCATACTCATTGAATATGTACATTAACATTCATAATACTGTAGCTTAGTTGTATTAGATTGTATACATAAAGAATTTTAGAAAATGGATCATTCATTGCATTCGTCCTACTTATGAATGGGTAGTTCTGCTTACACTCTTACTACCTCTACCACTACGGAATTTGATTCGACAACTGCATTTCTGTGCTAATACGGTGTGGCAACTCGAACTGATGTACGTACGTACGAAGTTCCACGTTGTTACTGACTGACTGACTGACTGATATCTGTTAGTTTAATAAAGTATACACTCTTGATTTTATTCAAAAGGCTCACATAGGTTATTGTTTCAGCTGAATAACTGATTAACCTCTGTTATATCTCAATGAGATTAATGAATGGTAACTATTGGGATCTATTTATAAACCAATACAATACATATATTGTATAAGTGTTATGTAACTTCACTCATAGACTATTATTATACGACTTACCATTGTTGAGTTATGCCCAGCCTGTTCATTACAGTCTTCCACATTCACACCGACTTTTGGTTAGATCTTGTACAAATGTTATTTTCCATTTTATAATACGATGTTTTCTGTTTGGTTTGTATATAAACCGAGTATGCTTGAAATACATCATTCATATCATGGAGGCTGAGATTGTTGTTCTAGACTCAACAGATAGACAGAGTTATTCAGAAAGAAGAATCGATAAACACTGTAGACTGCTCGTATATATTTGATACATCATTGATCCGGTCGATAAATCACTATAATCTAATTGGCGGTATCATCACGTGAAATATATTGATAGAGGTTACAATGGTCACAAGTTATAAGAACTTCATAATTGATATAATAAAATAACCATAATGATTTCAATGGCTAAGATCATGCGCCAGTTGAAGCTAGATCACCATGGAAAACCTGGAAGCACTGGATGGCCGTTTCGTCCTATTGTGGGACTCCTCAGCAGTGCGTATCCACGACCTCGCCGCCGGCGAGATTCGAACTCAGGACCTATTGGTTTCGCGCGCGAGCACTCAACCACTAGATTACCATTGAATTTGCTACAGTTTCCACAAAACCCATCTGATATTAATCAACATATGCTCACTAGTGACTGGCTTCAAGAGGTATATTCTGGAGTTCCAGTGAGAAGTAGTGACCAGTGGACTTCAACCAGGTCTGTTGTGAGATAGTTACTCACTGAAGACAATGGTGGATGTGTCACTCAATTTCGTGGATTATTTGGAGTTAGACATTAACACCGTCGGATGCCAACCGGATCAGTGGTCTAGTGGTTACGTGCTCACGCGTGAAACAAGTAGGTCCTGGGTTCGAGTCTCGCAGGGAGCGAAGTCATAGACGCACACTGCTGAGGAGTCCCACAATAGGACGAAACAGTCGTCCAGTGCTTCCAGGTTTTCCATGGTGATCTAACTTCAACTGACGCATGATTTTTAACCATTGAAATTACTATTATATCCACAAAACCCATTTGATATTATTCATTATGAATTAATGATTTTCATTTCATTGTAAATAGAAAAAGAATACTATGAAAAGAAAGCATCTAAAGTCTATTACAGGTTAGTAGTATTAATAAGTAATATAATTCAAATGAATAACCATTGAAGCCTAAGATAAATACCACTAAGCTAACGTACACACTGCTGATCTTGAGATGTTGGAGAAGATTTGTAGATCAAGTGGATGATTTCAATGGAGCTTTATTCTCTGAGTTGGTTGGTTTGATCGTGGAACTTTCATTGTGTTTTTTTAACGACATCAGCAATAAACAAGCACATTGAAATCGATCCAATTTATCAACCAAGCAGGAAAATTATGTACAAATATAGGAATATAAATCAAACTAATGGAAGATATAACCACAACAAAGAAGTAAACAATAACAGGTTTGAAGTCAGTAAGAATCGATCAACATTAAGGTGTACTGAACAAGGTATGAATCACATGTGGAGAAATTCGAACACTTCACTTCAATCTGAAGTTTGTACTGATGATGTCATTCAGAAGAACGATGAAAGCTCTATGACCAAACCATTCAGCTCAGAGGACAAAACTCCATCAAAAACACCACCGATCGCTACTACTGAGTGAATGATTTGGTAAAGTCGTTGGATTGATGTCGTTCTACTGGCTTTTCCTCTCAATTAATACTGAGAAAAATGACCTAATTTGACAAATTAGAGGAAATAGGCTAATCTTTTCAGGATGTGAGTAAAGAAAATAACAGTTAAGCATCAATAAACAAACATAAATAGTGTCTAGTTGAGGAATCTAGGACATGAGTGTCATTCTATTAAGAACTTGTCAGCTGGATGTATTTGCATTTCAGAATTGATGTTCACTTTTGGAACTCGAACCCAGTATTTATTTATTTGAACACATAAATATTAGTACAAAGGAGCACCGAATACATATACGCCACACAAGTCACTTGATTTGTATGTGGGCTGTAATACTGCCTAGGTGTTCAGACTGAAGCAGTTGGTTTTGTTAGGGGGCCACACACTCAGCCTTCGACATAAAGGTCTGATCCAGAAGGCAGTGGAGCAACTTTAAAACATGAAGTCCCATGGTAATCACTGACCAACAGTTGATTCATACTCCATTCCTTCCCTCAGGATACTGGAGCACATGTGTATTATTGGGTTGGGATCAGAGTTTCCCACCTCCTCTATGTGTTCACCAGCCCGGGTAAAGCGTCCTCTCAACTTCGTAAGCAACACACCCACAGCGAGAAAGCAGTGAGTAGGACTTCCCTGTCAGTGGTTGTATGCACCTGGCCATGTAAGAGCATTTGGAGAGAGAGAGCTAACTCTCCTCACCCTCAGCCGTACCATCACACTGTCCTGATAGACACTAGCTTGTGTAATAACAAGTGAATTGACTATTTTCCCATAGCAGTAATGTTGTAATTTAAATAATTCTAAAATATTTTGTTGATATTTTTATTCATGTAGAAAAGGTACCAATTTTATGTCCTAATACAACAAAGAAATGTTGTTCATATGGTATACGTGAACCAATTGAACCTTGGTTCCCATTAGATTCATTATTAGAAGGAAATAGTCGGATTAACCAGAAAACAAATTCAAAGTAAGTTATTTGTACATGGTATTTTACACATGCTATATGGCTCTTTAAAACTGAAGGACTCATATGAGACTGGAGGTTCACCATTGATATTGTGGATTGTTTGGCATTGCTTTGGCAAGTTTTACTGACTGTTCATGCACAAAATTGGTTTGCTGGTTAACAGATTTCACTCATACTGGTGACTGCTCTTCATTGTTCTCAAGGGCCATTATGATTGAAACATTGTAAGGCATGTCGCCATTGCTAACATTAATGAGTTTGACTATCGTGTAAGCGGAATAGGTCAACTTTGGCCTGCTCGTGTTGTGCATAATTGATTCATGCGATCATTGATCGGAATAATTATTATACATGTAATATGAATGTGTATATGTATGATGCGAATGGTGCACCAGGGTGCTTTGTACCTATGTGGTTGTGTCACAGGATTGATCTGTACTATTCAGATCGTAGCGTTGAAGCCTATATGGTGTTTGGTTCTCCTTTGAAGCGGGACTGAGCTATACTGTTTGGGTTGTCAAGTGAAAGTCTGGATGATGTCTGGTTCTCTTGAAAACCAACGTAAAATCACCCTGGTCCACAAGGGTATATTATATAACTGTAAATATATTTCACATTGCTTAGCTTCCATCAATGTTTTCAATGGTCAGTGATTTAGTAAACCATTTGTGTTATAGTGCTCAAAGTCTTTCTATTCGAATGCTTATTCATTGTGTAAATAATCTGTCAACACAATCCATATTGTTAACTATTTATGAGAGGTTTTGATGTTTTCTTATCTGAATGGCTTCATTATAATATGATGACTGTTAGTCTAGACTCGTCAATATACATTGACTTCTTTGACTGTGACAAAGCATTTGAAAGTGTGGATAAGAGGGCTTTATGTAAAACTTATGTGACAATATGGTGTACCTGAGAAGATTGTCAATATCATCTGAAATTCATATGACAGACAACACTGCAATGTCGTGTGGGGAGGATAGTTGAAAGATGCATTCCAAGTAAGGATTATCTTCAGACAAAGCTGCTTACTCCTTACCCTTCATTTTCTTCTGGTGTTGGTCGACTGGATTATGAAGATTTCCACATCTGATGGGAAGGACAGAATACAACGGATATTTTGAATGCAACAGGGCGGTTTGTACTTCACAGATGACCTGCTCCTTCTATTCCATGCACAACAACGAATACAAATGAAGACAACTAGTGTAGCAGCAGCCTTTGCATCAGTGGACTTCAACATACTCAGAGGAAAAAGAAAGCTTCTCAAATTTTTATTGAGAACACCAACTCGGTAACAACTGACGAATAAGGTCTAGAAGAGGTGGAATCCTTTACGTACCTGGGAAACATCATCCATTAACGAGGAGAATCTGATGTAGATGTAAAGGTGAGGATTAGCAAAGCAAGAACAGCATTCCTACAATTGAAGAACATATGGAACTCAAACTAACTGTCAACCAATATCAAAGTCAGAATCTTCAATACGAAAGTCAAGATAGTCCTACTGTATGGAGCTGAATCTTGAAGAACTACTACAACCATCATCAAAAATGTACAATTATTTATAAATAGTTGTCTACTCAAGATACTCAATGTCCAATGATTGGATACCATCTGCAACAGCCTACTGTGGTTGAGAACAAACAAGTTTCCGACTGAAGGAGAATTTATCAAAAGATGTTGGAAGTGGATAGGACTTACATTACGGAAATCACCAAACTGAATCACGAGGCAAGCACTAACTTGGAATGTTGAAGGAAAACGAAAAAGACGAAGGCCAAAGAACACACTGCATCGGGAAATGAAAGTAGATATGAAAAGGTTGAATAGCAACTGGAAAAGATTGCACATAACAAGGTTGGATGGAGAGTGCTAGTGATCGACCAATGCTTCTCCACAAGGAGTAACTTGAGTAAGTAAGTTCTTGATTAACTTCTTTAGCCTCTGTTAATCTACAATTTGACTGTGTTAGCGTCATAGGAAATCTCTGATATTCTTAGAATATAAGTATCCATGAACGTGAACATCTTTTAAGTTAAATTTATATCCATATTCAATACAACTTCAATGTAGTTTTATTCTTTATCATTTTTATTGCAGTTTACGCTTGAATCGATCTAAAAGTTGTGATATTAACAATTTCAAAGTAAGTTATTGATTTTATTATGTCCTTGATTTGTTTACCTAATGCCAGCTCAGTGGTCTAGTTGGTTAAGCGCCTGGCGCGAGACTGATAGGTCCTGGGTTCGAATCTTGCACACTGCTGAGGAGCCCCATACTAGGACGAAACTGCCGTCCAGTGCTTCCAGGTTTTCCATGGTGGTCTAGCTTCAATTGACTCATGATTTCAACCACTGAAATATATGAAAGAACTTGTCTTGTTATAAGTTAAGGTCCTGATACAATAGGCTAACTGCTTCAAACTTGTGGTATGAAATACTTGAGTTCAAATTGAAACTAATGGCGTTAGGCAAATTGACAACAACTATCCTATCACCTGATTGGTCAACAAGTAAGAGAGAAAAGGAAGAGAAGGCAAGTCAATTGGAGCACTACTTGATGAATTCCCAATTCATGAATCACGATTCAGATGACTATTAATTGTTTGGACCTACCTATTTACGTTCAGGACTGAAGTTGGCCAATCTCTTATTGGCATATGTGCATCCTGTGAGGATTTCCTTAAGTCAAAAGAATGATAAGCTAAGTTTGGTAGTGTCTAGCAGTAGAATCCAAGCTGTGCGTCTCTTCCTGCTTCAGATTCCTCAAATGGATGTGCCTGCATTCCAGAGTTGAGACATTCCACACGAGAAGGCAATGAGTAGGACTTCCCTGGCAGAGGCTGTATACGCGTGGCCGTGTGAGAGTATTTCGAGAGGGAGAGCGGACTCACCCCACTCTCGGCCGTACCAGGGCATTCGGGGGCCTGCTACCCACCATCCATTTTATAGTTTGAATCAGTCTTTAGAATACGATCATGTCAAACAAGCGACCTAGATTATGTAATCCTTTATACCAGTTTTCTATAATTAAACTTCAAAAGGATTTCAAATTCCTTAATTTAGTCACTATGCTGTAAACTCGATAAACAGTGGTCTATTGTTACTGGTAAACATTCAACATTACAATGGTTTCTAAATGTTATGTAACTGAAGAGAAGTAAAATATTAACAAGTTCTCAACATGCTGTAAAGCATGTTTTCTGATTACATCAGTTTCACCAAGTATTCACTATACATTACCATGTTTCTAGCCTAGAGGATACATGAATCTCACAACATGTAAATCACCCATAGTTAAGTATTGAATATACAACTCATTCAGTTGCACATACTCATATTAACAATTGGGATTGATATCAAACATGAAAAAAGCGAATATCCATGAGTGGCTTGGATTGCCTCCATCTATCCATTCACTGTCAATCTGTTTACTTTGTTAAGGCAGCGTTCTCAGATTGAAGACTGAAAAAGGATCAAATTTCAGATAGCCTTTTGTCTATTATGTCAAAAAACATAACAATCACTCACATATATCTTAAGCTGACTGAACCTGCTGATCATGGTAAAGCCATCAGTATTCATATTTTTACTGACAACATAAACCGAAACCTATCTCGGATTTGAAAATGGTAGTCGACGATGAATTACACCAGTAGGAGGTACGATTAATAGCAATAGTTTATTGATTCAGTTTAGTATGGGACTTCAGTAAATTACATCCCACCAATGACTAAAGGCATGATCTCTTCACAAAACCCATTTATTCAACATTCATCGAGAAATTTTATCATCAATATATCACTCATTAACGTGATTTCTAGAAATAAGTATCGATTCAACACAAAATAACATTCATGGATATGTCTTCTCTCAATTCAACTCTTTGAACAATACAACGGTTATCTTTAGAACTGAATGTGTTATTTCGACCATAAAACTATTTAATAGTTGAATTCATGAGCTAGACAATCATTGAAAATCTAGAAGCACTGAATCTCCGTTTCGTCCTAGTATGGGACTCTTTAACTGTGCGCAACCATGTCCCCGCCTACGCGATTCGAACCCAGGATCATAGATCTCGCGCGTGAATGCTTAATCTGTCGACCACTGAGACGGCATCCCACGGTGTTAATGTCTAACTTCAAATAATCGACGAAATTGAGCGACACATCCAGCATTGTCTTCAGTGAGTTACTACCTCACAACAGACTCAGTTGAATTCCACAAGTCACTTCCCACTAGAATTCCAGGAAATACCTCTTGAAGCTATTCACTAATGAGTATATGTTGATGAGTATCAGAAGGGGTTTTTGTGGATATTATAGTAATTTTAATAGTTGGAATCATGAATCAATTAAAGCTAGACAACCATGGAAAACGTAGAAACACTGAACGGTCGTTTCATCCTAGTATGGGACTCTTTAGCTGTGCGTATCTATGATCACGCTCTCGAGATCCGAACCTTGGACTTATATATATATATATATATATATATATATATATATATATATATATATATGTTAAGTCCTACGTTATTTATAACTAATTGACTGCATTTATTTCGAAAGTATGTATGTACAGTTTGGATTGTATTTACTTAGGCCGCTGATCAGCATTCTTCAACACACTCTTTCCTGGACCTTTCATTCTAGTTCTATCCTGTTGTTGTTCATTCTTCTCATATCTGTCTCCATTTTATCGTAGTAATGTATTCTTTGGTCTTCTTCTCCTCATTTGGCCTTGAAAGTTTCAGATGAAGGCTTGCGTTTTGACGCAGTTCAGTGCTTTCTTCAATGTGTGTCCTATCCAATTCCAGCACTTCTTCCTGATTTCTTCCCCCGTTGGAATCTGGTTTATTCTCTACCACAGTAGATTGTTACTGATAGTCTCTGGTCAATGGATCCGAAGTATTTTGTGTAGACGACTGTAAATAAACACCTGTATCTTCTGGATGATGGCTTTCGTGGCTCTCCAAGTGTCCATTCCATAAAGTAGAACTGTTTTGACATTTGTATTGAAAATTCTGACTTTGGTGTTTGTTGGCAATTGTTTCGAGTACCAGATGTTCTTCAGTTGTAGATATACTGCTCTTGCTTTTCCGATCTGAGCCTTCACGTCTGCATCAGATCCACTGTGTTCATTAATGATGCTCCCCGGATATTTAACATTTTTTACTCCCTCCAAAGCTTCTCCGTCAAGTGTGATTCGATTAGTGCATGCTGTGTTGTATGGGAGAATCCTGCTTTTCCCTTTGTGTATGTTGAGACCTACTACTGTTAAGTCTGCTGCTACACTAGTCATCTCCTCATGCATTTGTTGTTGTATGTGTAATAGAAGAACCAGATCATCGGCAAAGTCTAGATCGTCTAGCTGCATCCTAGCCATCCACTGTATCCTATGCTTACCCCAGTTGAATTGTATTTAGTTATTAATAATTGAGATCATCATAGCAGAGATTGAATGTTCAATGACATAACATAACATAACATTCAGAATAAGAATTCACTGAATACTATTCGATTTATTTTAATTTATTTTAGTTACCATGGCAACCTGAATTCAGCAACTTATATCATAGTTCACCGAATTTAATGAATCAACCAACTGGTGAATTGGTTATCAATCAAAATTTTTCAAGTATATTACATGAAGTAAGTTTATAATATTGGTTAATTGATCAATAAATGTTCTTCATTTATTGATTCCATTTTCTTTAAGTATCCTTTACATTTGTTTCTATTTGCTATTCATCCCTTTGATGTCTGCTTCCGATTTCTGACTCATTGTGTTCTATGGCCTTTCTCTTTTCTGTTTCCTTTCAGGATTTCAAGTTAGCGATTGTCTTGTGATACAGTTTGATGATTTCCGTAATGTATGTCTAGCTCATTTCTACCGTATTTTTATAACTTCTTCAGTTGAAAGTTGGTTTATTCTCATCCATAGTAGGCTATCACTGATCGTATCCTGTTAACAGACATTAGGTATCTTACGTAGAAAACTATTTATAAATACTTGTACGTTCTTGATGATGGTTTTAGTAGTTCTCCGAGTTTCAACTCCGTACGCTAGAACTGACTTTCATTACTGTATAAATAACATTAGTGGAATAGTGCAAGCGCTAATTATCACTAGCTTCCAGCTGAAGAAGAAATTAGGAAAAGACGATGGAAATGGATAAGACATACATTACGCAAATCATCAAACTACGTCACGAGGCAAGCCCTAACTTGGAATCCTGAAGGGAAGCGCAAAAGAGAAAGGCCAAAGAACACATTACGTCGGGAAATAGAAGCAGATATGAAAAGGATGAATGACAAATGGAAGGAGCTTGAAAGGATTGCCCAGGACAGGGTTGGATGAAGAATGCTAGTGAGCGGCCTATACTTCTTCACGAGGAGTAACAGGCGTACGTAAGTAAGTAAATAGTATAATGAATGATTAATTAACTTCAGAATAATTCTTACTATAAATATTAATCGACTTCGCTACCAATATTGATAACTAAGATTTCAAGATCTCCAGTTTTGTTAGTCATAAACATTGATACATTCTAAGAACAAAGTTTGTCGAACTGTAAAATAGATGCACTTGTTATTGTCCACTTGAATCTTCCCATTGATGTTTAAGACTGCAACTGATCAGTCTCTTATTGCTATGTATGCCTACTGTACGGATCGCCTCCATATTGCCTTAATTCACAAGTATTCTAAACAAAGATGTATTGTGACTAGCAATGGATTCTAGGACATGTGTTCCGTTTTGTTTGAGACTCGTCAGCTAGATGTGCCTGCATCTCAGAGTTGATGTTCACTCCAGCAAGGACTCAAACCGGGTACTGTTCGCTTCAAACGCCATCGCATTATTCACTTGACTATTGAGTTCTGATAGCCACTTGGTTGTTCAATGGAGTGAAGTTTAAATTTACTTGTTGTCGTTTACTTGAATCTTCCCATTGATGTTTAGGACTGCAATTGATCAGTCTGTTATTGGCATATGTAGCGGTTGAAGAGAACGGTACTGTTTTAGAGTCTTAAAATGAACATCAACTGTGATATGCAGTTACATCTAGCTGACGAGTCCTAAATAGGACGAAACGCGCTTTGTCCTGTATTCCACTGCTAGCCACCATACATACTTTCTTGTAAAATATATATGGGGTTAAAATGTAGCAGAGCATTCAACTTTTAATGTCCAGTAAAATTGTAATACAGTAATCAAATATAATCAGCTTTAAAAATATCTTTCAAAGTTTATACCATTTATTGATTAATATCAGATGGGTTTTGTGTATATTATAGTAATTTCAATGGTTAAGGCCATGAGTCTAATAGTCTAGTGGTTAAGTGCTCGCGCGCGAAACCAGTAGGTCCTGAGTTCGAATCTCGTAGAAGGCGAGGTCGTGGTATGCTCACTTCTGAGGAGTCCCACAATAGGACGAAACGACTGTTTAGTGCTTCCAGGTTTTCCATGGCATTCTAGCTTCAATTGACTCATGATTTCAATCAAAAAGATAAATGTTTTGTTTAGATGAATATTGAAGTAACTAACATCAAGAATGCCAGCATCATTTGTTCTTGAGCATTTCCAATTATTGAAATATTAAAAAATATTCATTCTTTAGCCAAAATGTAATGAAGAATAGATGACACTGTATATCTGTATCAAGTCTAGTTTAGGACGCTTCAGAAATCCTAACTTACCACTTCATCTATGACCGAATAGGATATTATCGGAAAATGGAATTCGATCTCAATAGCTCATATTTGTTATTTCGATCAATGTGAAAAACAGCTAGTCTTATCAGTCAATCTAAATCTCTTCGATGCCTTAATTGTTTAGGTTCTACCATTTTGTGATGTTTGTTTGTTTTTTCAAACTTTTGCACACTATCCAACTCACTATCTTTTTCTGTTCTGTCAATTCTATCAAGTTAACCCAACAAAGAAAGTTAATTTTAGATATGGAAGAACAGACTATTGATAATCTGGAAGACAAGATATCACCAGAAGATTGTAATTCCAACGAAAAGAATAAAATCTGTAAGTAACCTGAACTTTTTTTAAAATATAAAATATGATTATAAGTAAAGATGGATAGTGGTTAGCAGTGGAATCTAGCACTCATGTTTCATCCTCTTTGCGACTCGTCAGCTAGATGTACCTACATCTCAGAGTTCATGTTCACTCCAGACGAAACTCCAACACAGTACCGTTCGATTCAAACGCCATCGTGTTATCTACTTAGCGACTGAGTTCTGATAGCTACTTGGTTGTGCAATGGAGTGAAGTTTAAATTCACTTGGTTTTGTTTTACTTGCATCTTTCCATTGTTATTCAGGACTGAAATTGATCATCAGTATAGGGGTTGTCGAGATTATTAAGTTTTTGATTGAGATCATGAACCGACTGATGTTAGACCATCGTTGGAAACTTGGAAGCACTGGGCGGCCTTTTCGTCCTATTGTGGGGCTCCTCAGCGGTGCGTATCCATGATCCTGCTCGCAGGATCCGAACCCAGAGCCTTCAGTCTCGTGCGCGAACGCTTAACCAACTGGACCACTGAGCCGGCACCCAATTGTGTTACTGTCTAACATCAACCAATCCATTTAATTGTTCGAGCATCTTCCATTGTACTGAGGTTCTGTGGCAGTGTTTGTCACTGAAAGGAGTACCAAAGAAGTACATTAACCTTATAAAGGCTCTCCACTCGAACACAACCGGTCAAGTGAGAGCTTATGGCGAACTGTCATCAGAATTGAGTACCTCAAGTGGTGATTGTCAGGGCTGTCCACTCTCTCCATTCTTGTTTAACTTTGTCGTTGACGTACTTTTAGAGATAACACTCTCCTCATCTAAATTTACAAGGGTTGAACTTCTACCAGGAGGTTCACTTGTTGACTTAGAATATGCCGATGACAGAGTTCTATTTGGTGAAGACGCTGACAAAATGCAGTCTTCCGACCACTCTAAGCAACATTGCAGGCATGTTCGGGATGCGATTCTCCCCGTCGAAATGCAAAATGTTGCTTCAGGATTTGGTTGCATCGACACCCGAACTAATGATAGGGAGTGAAGTAGTTGAGTGTATCGACCGCTTCACTTATCTTGGAAGTCTCATCAGCCCTTGTGGTCTGGTGTGTGACGAAATCTCAGCACGAATACAGAAGGCTCGATTAGCTTTTACCAACTTGCGTCATTAATAATGTAGGTGAGATATCCGTCTATCAAACAAAGGACGTGTTTACTGTGCAGCAGTTCGTTTCATCCTACTTTATGGCAGTGAAACATGGCCGGTAAGCGTATAGGATATTCATAGGTTACTAGTATTCGATCCTAGATGTCTCCGAAACATTGCTCGTATATCCTGGGACCATCGAATAAGTAACGCAGTAGTTACGAAACGGGTATTATGTAAGGAGGGAAAATCAATTGATGAAGTATTGAAACTTCACCACTTGAGATAGCTGGGACACGTATTACGTATGCCCAACCACCGACTGCCCCAACGTGCGATGTTTTATGGTGTAGGAGTAGGTTGGAAGGAAACTAGGGATGGCCAGACCAAAACGTCCCACAAATCCATGAAGTCACTGACAGGTGGACTGAGCCATGTTAGTGGGTGTAGACTATCTGGTTAGGATCTGCGAGACGATAGCAACCGATGGTTAGAGACGTTGAATGACATAGCTTTAACAGATAAGCAGCTAACATCTTACTTACTTATGCCTGTTATCCCTCGTAGAGGAGTATAGGCCTCCCACTAAGATTCTCCATCCAACTCTGTCCTGGGTAATCCTGTCCAGTTGCTATTCATCTTTTTTATTTCTGCTTCCAATTCTCGACTCAGCATGTTCTTCGACCTTCCTCTTTTGTGTTTCGCTTCAGGATTCCAAGTTGGGGCTTCTCTCAAGATACAGTTAGCTGATTTCCGTAATGCATGTTCTACCCATTTCCAACGTCTTTTCCTAATTCCCTCTTTTACTGGAAGCTGGTTTGGCCTCTTACATTAAGTTATTCAGAAAAGTTTTGGTAATCAGATATCTCATGTTAATAGTGAATGCAAATGAAAGTTTAAGATTAAAAAACATTCCACACAATCCTCGAGTTGTGAATAGTTTGAATGTATGGGATATATATTGAACAATAAGTATTTACATACTTCTTAACCACAAGTTTGTGAGATTCAGTTAAACTTTCCAAAGCATAATCAAAGAAAAATTTAGTCTTTCACTCTGACAATACACATCCCATTCATGACGCTACACTTAGCTCCCAAATACCGTGGTACTCCCGAGGGTGTGGCAAGTCAGTTCTCCCTCTCGAAATGCTCTCACATACCCACATGCATACAACCACTCTCAGGGAAATCTTACTCACTCCCTTCTCGTGGTGGTGGTGGGGAGGTGTTTTACGAAATTGACAGGACGAAAAACGAATTTTCGGCGCTTTAATCAGGTTGGTTGACACGAAGAGTTCACCTAGGAGAGTCACTACATGATATTCTATATTATTATTCCATAGTATCATTTTAATGATAAATTTCATTTAGAATAATCATAATTGTTTTAATTGTTTTAGTTACAACAATCCATTCGAATGATGATTGTATTGTACATACTACTAAGAATCACATGTAAGTTAATTTTATTTGCACGTTAGTTGTTGAAGTGATAAGACTATTATTTATGGATGACCTTTGAGCAACGCTAAAGTGACCTTGAGAGTGTTCACCTAAGTTCTAAGAGTAAATGAGGCTAACCCTCGTCAGCAAGGTGTACCTGTAATCTTGAGAGAACTAGCGCTCCCTGGCGGATTCGATCCTGTGTCACCCGGACCCACAATCAGAGACGTTACCGCTGATCTATCCGGGCCACAATTGACCTCCTGTAGGACTGAGATGTAATCACAATTGGTCGATCACTGGGTGGTGATCAATGTCATGTGTGTCAAATCCTTATTTAGTGTAGATCGAATTCTATCGACCATGTTGCAATGTGGCCACCAGTTTAGGTGACTCGACACATGGTCGATAGCATTCGATCTGCACTAAATAAGGACTTGATACGTATGACATTGATCACCACCCAGTGATCAATCAATTGTGAGGTTTACCCTCATTAGATTTAGAGTTTTCATCACGAAATGATATCAACTAAAATATCAAGATGCTATTTAGTCAAATGGATGAATGAATTTCGCGCCAACATCTAAGACCTGTTATCTTATATTTCATTGATTCATGCATAAATTATAGTCTCTCCATTGAACTTTTTTACTTATTTATTTGTTTTAATCAGAGAGTGGTTTTGTGGAGTTTGTAGTAATCTAATAATTGAATTCACGAGTCACTTGAAGCTAGATCACCATTGAAAAGCTGGAAGCACTGGACGACCGTTTCATCCTACTATAGGACTCCTCAACAGTGCACATCGACGATCCCGCCTTGCGAGATTACAACCCAGGATTTATCAGTCTCACACACGAACGCTTAACTTTTACACCACTGAGCCGGCATCCAACTTTGTTAATGTCTAACTTCAACCAATCTAAAAAATTGCGCCACCATTCACCATTGTGTTAAGTGAATTACTATCTCAAAACAGACCTGCTTGAACTCCACTGGTCACTGCTTCTCACTAGAACTCCAGAAAATACCTCTTGAAACCAGTCACTAGTAAGCATATGATGATTATATTCAGACTAAGATTCATTATACTAGGATGAAACGGCCGTTCAGTGCTTCCAGATTTTCCATGATGGTCTAGCTTCAATTGACTCATGATTTCAACCAGTGAAATTTCTAAAAATCTTCACAAAACCCATTCTGATATTAGACTTTTCATGATGTTAACATAAATCTCCGGAATGGTAATATACAATTTAGATGAAGCAATTGAACATAACAAAATGGATAGTGGCTAACAGTGGAATCCAGGACAAAGCACGTTTCGTCCTATTTATGATTCGACAACTGGATGTACCTGTATCCCATAGTTGATGTTCACTCTGGGACTCCAACCCAGCACCGTTCTCTTCAAACGCCATGTATGCCAATAACAGACTGATCATTTGCAGTCCTAAACATCAATGGGAAGATACAAGTAAAACAACACCAAGTGAATTTAAACTTCACTACATCGCAAAACCAAGTAGCTATCAGAACTCAGTCGCTAAGTAGATAACACGATGGCGTTTGAATCGAACGGTACTGTGTTAGAGTTTCGTCTGGAGTGAACATCAACTCTGAGATGTAGGTACATCTAGCTGATGAGTCGCAAAGAGGATGAAACAACTTCGTATTCAAATACATTTGACTGTTTCCATTTATATTCTCGTTCTCCACACTATTAGACGTCATCTACATATGGAATAAAACGATATAGAAAGTAGGATTTCACAATAGATAATTATTATTATTAAAACATGAATTATGTAATAATATTTAGATTAACAAAGACTATCATGAAGTATAAGAAAGTCTTTTTAAAACATTAACTCCGCCTGTAACTCTTCTAAGGCTACTACTAGTCAAAAGCTCGGGATTAAAGAGGAGAGTTAGGCGTAGGATTGGTGACTCTATCCCGCAGAAAATAACCACAGCCATTATAAAAAAAGACACAAGTATTTATAAACAGTTGTCTACGTAAGACACTCAATATCCGTTGGCCACATACCATCAGCAACAGTCTACTGTGAAAAAAAAACAAATCAATTTCCAGCTGAGAAGTAAATTAGGAAAAGATGTTGGAAGTAGATAGGACATACATTACGGAAATCATCAAACTATATCATGAAACAAGTGCTAACTAGGAATCCTGAAGCGAAACGAAAAAGTGAAAGGTCAAAGAACATATTGTTTCAATAATTGGTAGCAAATATGAAAAAGATGAATAGCAACTGGAAAAGATTGACCATGCTAGGATTGGATGGAGAACGGCCTATAGCGACTCACGTGCAAATGGGTTTATTCTCATTTAACACAGTTAAGCTCTTTTGCTAACTTATTTAGCGGACAAAGCCATCCGCACTATAACAATTTATTGTACCCTTATTATTATTTTGTGCTTGTATGAAATACGCATGCTTGAATATTGCTTACGGCCTACGCATTTATGTCACTCTGCTAGTCTCACTACTAACCGTTTATTCGATTCCATTACTCATTAATTTCACATGCTATATATATGTCCATGTTATTTATATGGTTGACTCTGCTTTCTAGCTCGCTTGATTGTACTCGATTACTTACATTCGCTCAGTCGCTCGCTTGCCTGTTTGCCGTTCGACACAACTCTTAAGGTCTATACTTCTTTATAAGGGTTGACCACAGGTGTAAGTAAGTTTAAAACAATGAATTATTTGAACCTACATTTTTGATAAATAAAAGGTAAATAATATCGATTATTATCACTGTTATTATTTCTTATGATAGGAATGATTTGGAAACAATTTCTCATACAAAATCAATGAATATATCGAATCACCATGACAACAAAACTCCTCAAAATTTAAATAATCCAGCTATAACAACTACACAATCGATTTATTTAAATTTATCTGATATAGAATTATATAAACAAAATCAATTAAAAATCAATAATAATAATTTACAAATTGATTGGATTAAAACAATCAAAAAATTACCAGAAAATATTGAACCAATTTTAGAATATTTTGGATCAACTAAACAAGATCAATCTACGAATATTAAGGTAAATTGATCATATATATATATATAAGCTACATAGTAACAATGAGGCTAGTAGTAGTTATTATTGATTTCTTGATTGAGATCATGAACCGACCACCATTGAAAACTTAGAAGCACTGGGCGGTTGTTTCATCCTATTGTGGGACTCCACAGCAGTGCGCTCAGTAAAATGGAAGATGGTTGCGCAATTTTGTGGATTGGTTGAGGTTAGACATTAACAAAACTTGATGCCGGCTTAGTGGTCTAGTAGGTTAAGCGTTTGCACGCGAGACCGAAGGCCCTGGGTTCCAAACCCGCGAGCGGGATCGTGGGTGAGCGATGCTGAGGAGTCCCACAATAGAACGAAATGGCCATCCAGTGCTTCCAGGTTTTCATTGATGGTCTAACATCAATCGGTTCATAATCTCAGTCAAAAACTTAACATTCTCCACAACCCTCAAACTGATATTTTTGATTTGTATGAGGATTGGAATACTTCTTGGGTGCCTAGACCGGAGCATCTGGGAACTACATCCGGAGGCTTTGCCCTGAAGGTCTAATCCACAAGGTAGTAGAGCAACGTCAGAAGATGCGGTCTCATGGTAGCTTGTCATCAACAATAGATTCATACCCCATTAGTTCTTCCAGGATACTGGAGCCCATGTGTATCATTGGTTTGGAATCAGGTATTCCAACTCCCCTGTGTAGATTCTATGTATCGACCAACCCAGTTACAGCATCGGACATTCCCGTTTCGTTCTCTCAATTCCGTTAACAACAGTAATGCCATGAGAAGTCATTGAGTAGGAATTCTCTGACAATGGATGTATACACGAAGTGACTCTCCCCACCAGAGTATTTGGTAGTAGTGTGAAACGTACATCTTCGAATCATTTTTAATCGGTAATAAATGAGTGAAAATTAATTTATCATTGAAATATTAATGATTGTTCACCACTTTGTGCAAATTAAATGATCAATTTTACTTGTTGTCTATTATAATTTGTCTGACCAACTTATTCTTCATCAATTAATATTGATTTAATAGTTGAGATCATGAGTCAATTGAAGCAAAACCACCTTGAGAAACCTGGAAGCACTGGATTGCCGATTCGTTCTAGTATGAAAATCCACAGCAGTACGTAGCCATGATCCCACCTCATGAGATTCGAACCCATGACCTATCAGTCTTGCGTGTGGACACTTGACCTCTAGACCACTGAGCCGGCACCCAACAGTGTTAATGTCGAATTTCAACTAATCCATCAAATTGTGTCAACGTCCACCATTGTCTTCAGTGAGTTACTATCTCACTACAAACCCGGCAGAACTCATATGAATAGATGAGATATCAAAATAAACATAATGTTAGTGGTAAATCTGCAACATAACCAAGTTATTTCGGAGAGAATGAACGAACTGACGAATCAACGGTATAGTATAATAATTAAACTCAAGCTTTTAAGAAATATTAGGATGGAATGTGTCTAATTCATCGCAAAAGGATTTCAAACCACATTACCATACTCACTTGGTAATGTTTGTATCTTCCTTCTGTTAGCCACTATCTTTGCTTATAAAGCTTGTGACTTCAAGCAATATCGAGGCAGTCCTCACAGGATGCACATATTCCGATAAGAGACTAATCAATTGCAGTCCCAAACAACAACAGAAAGATACAAGTAAACAATACAAAGTGAATTTAAACTTCACCCCATTTCACAAACAAGTGTCTATCAGGACTCAGTAGTTAAGTGGATAATTCGATGACATTTGAAGCGGGCGGTAGTGGGTTCGAGTCCTGGCTGCAGTGAACAATGTAATTGTTAAGCAACTGTTTCATACTCTGCAGAGTTAAGCTTCAATAGTCACAATTTTCCACTAGAACTCTGGGAATTACATTTCGAAATTAGTCACCAATGACACTAGAACGATCAGTCACTATACGATGAATTCACTTATCTAAAGCTCATATGGTCTTTGAGGAACCAGAAAATTCTATTTGTAATCCCATTAAAAGCTATGGATGCAAATTATTGAGGAATACTTGACTGGGAAAAAATAGCTATTTAATGCTTCCTAATTCCTAGTAATAGTATTCCGACACTAGACAATGAATGGGTTTTGAGTATTTTGTAAGCCTTAACGCTTCAAACTGGGCTATTTCGTCTACCACCCTACATATGTGTTGTATGCAGTATAAGCTATAAAGCTATATTGCCATGTAGAGCTGAAGGTCTCATATGAGACGATGGGTTCGCCATTGATATTTTGGATGGTTCCGCATTACTTTGGCAAGTTCTACTGACTGTTCATGCACAAAATTGGTTTCCTGGTTAACTGATTTCATTCATATTAGTGGTTGCTTTTCAGTGTTCGCAAGGGTCATTGTCATTGGGATATTGTAAGGCATGTCGCGATCGCTAACATTAATGAGTTTGACTGTTGTGTAGGCAGAATAGGTCAACTTTGGCCTGTTCGTGTTGTGCATAATTGATTCATGCGATCATTGATCGGAATAATTATTATACATGTGATATGAATGTGTATATGAGTGGTGCGAATAGTCCACCAGGGTGCTTGTTATCTATGTGGTTGTGTCACAGGATTGAGCTGTACTCCTTTGAAGCGGTATTGAGCTGTACTGTTTGGGTTGTCACGTGAAAGTCCGGATGGTGGCTGGTTCTCTAGAAAACCAATGTAAAATTACCCTGGCCCACAATGATATATTATATAACTAGTTCATAATATATAACCCATAAAACTTTAAACTATGCTCCATACACTAACATATTTCATTGTTTTCTATTATAATAATTACTTATCAGTTAGTTACAAATGAAATAGAACATCTTACAGATGAAATCAACAAAAATTCATCCACTACCAGATTAGGCTTTGATTTATGTAGACGTGGTGCATTATATAGAAAAGTAAGTAGTGTATTGTTTGTTTTGTTTTGTTTCTGTACTTCATTTTTAATAATGCTAACAATCAAAGTGTACTAATTCAAGTAGTTAGGGGCGACCAAATCAAAATGTGGCATCAGTCCATAAAGTCACTAACTTCTAGTCTGAGCCATGTTAGTAGATGCAGACTACTTGGTTAAGATCCATGTGACTGTCGTAACCAATGATTAGAGACTCTTGGTGACATGGCTCAAAATCGATCACAATCGCGTAGGTGTGTATACATTCTCTGTCTTCCCTTAAACTAAGAGATTAAAATTACTTCATATCTTTCTTGCTACGAACTAATTCTTTCTTCCTGTACTATATTCTTATATGCGATCTTTCTTTTATATATTACCACCATTGACTTAACCACTCCTATGAATCTGGTGTTCATCTTGCTGTGCTAATGAGATGTGACAACTTGGACCGTCGCATATATGTTCCTGGTCCTACGTTTTAGCTGACTGACTGACTGACTAATTCAAGTGTTTATCAAAAAAATAGGGCTGTAGTAATGTACATTTAGGTAATGCTGGTGTAGTGAACAAGAATACACAAGTAGAGACAATCGAATGTATTAGAACACACAACTACAGAATCTCCTAATAAAATCTGAGAACCATCCAGTAAATACTTCATTTGCAAAATGTTAATCAATCGTTTCAGAATTCATTGTTCTTTTGTTTCCACATCAATCACTCTCTGTTCTCTTTTCTCCGATCTACTTAACCTTCTGTCACCAAGTACCTCACTTTTTATTGACGATGCATATATACTACTTATATCTGTCGATATCAGTAGCACACATCATACTAGTAATACAGAAATTGATGATTTAACCCTTATATTGGTATACATAATTAAATGCTCCTGTTTTTATAAGATATATATGAATATTTTATTGAAATGAATATGGGTTTTTATGATCTGGCTACATCATCAGATGAAGACGTAAATGCGAGGATTATCAAAAAAAAGGGCTACATTCTTACAGTCGAAGAACATATGGAACTCAAAATAACTGTCAACCAATATCAAAGTCACAATCTTCTATACGAACATCAAGACAGTTCTACTGTACGGAGCTGAAATATGGAGAATTACTATAACCATCATCAAGAAGGTACAAGTATTGATAAATAGTTGTCTACGCAAGATACTTCAACATCCATTGGCTAGATATCATCAGTAACAGCCTACCATGGGAGAGGACAAACCAGCTTTCAGCAGAGGAGTAAAATCAGCAAAAGACGTTGGAAATAGATAGGACGCACATCACCGTAATCACCAAACTGCATCACAAAGCAAGCGCTAACTTGGAATCCTGAATGGAAACGAAAAAGCGGAAGACCAAAGAACACGTTGCATAGGGAATCGAAAGGAGATAGGAAAAGAATGAATAGCAACTGGAAAGAAGCGTATTGTCCTGGACAGAGTTCGATGGAGAATACTAGTGAGCGACCTATGCTCCTCCATGAAGGGTAACAGGCGTAAGTAAGTACATCATCAAATTGTGTAAGAGCGAGCGTAGTAAAAATAAAAATAGAAAAAACAAGAAGATAAGTAAGCGTAGGTTTGAATTCGCGAGGAGGTAAATGCGCAAAAATAAAATAATATTGAGAGAAAAATTTCTAGGCGTAGTCGTTTGAATACAAGCCACATTAAAGACTTTACTGTTCCTTCGTTTCCACACCATTCATTCGCTGTTCTGGTTCTCTTTTCTTGGATCTTATTGATCTTCTACCGCTAGATATTTCACTTTCAATCGATGGTACATACTACTTATATCTGTCGATATCAGTGGCACACACCACAAGCACAATCATTTTAGATGCTATGTAACAGAATACTGGAACAAACTAACTACAGCATAAATATTACTGAACAACAAACTTTTTTTTCATTCTCATACTCACCTATACAGAAACATTTTGTATATTTGATTCTAAAATGATCAAATAGGGATGTGATATTGTTAGCTACTTATATTGACATATATATTGACAGTATATAACACTAATCAGAAGTAAAATGCCTGATATCAGAATGTTAAGAAAATCAAATCAAAGTGAATGAGGAGGAGTCGAAGTGATTCCATCTAAACAGAACCTGATAGTCTCCTAGTATATCATCGTGGCATACTAAAATTAATTTCAATAATTGGGGTCATGAGTCACTCGGAGCTAGACCACCATGGAAAACCTGGAAGAACTGGATAGCCGTTTCATCCTATTGCGAAACCGATAAGTTGTGCGTTCGAATCTTGCGTAGCAAGATCGTGAATGCGCACTGCTGAAGAGTCCCACAGTAGGACAAATAGGCCGTTCAGTGCTTTTAGGTTTTCCATGGTGGACTAGCTTCAATTGACTCATGATCTCAACTACTGAAATTACTATAATGTCCACAAAAACCACTTTTAATACTACGATTAGATGATAGCACAACTTACCTCTTTGCAGACTGGCTGAATTTTATTGATGTCATAGCCGATGCTGATAACTATAAACACACGTGTTTTTATGCACATTTTTTTATTCTTATCAGTTATTCACTTCACCTGATTCTTCTGCTTTCTGATTTGCGACTGTCAGGTTCTACACATTCGAGTGTCGCTAGTTGTATATCGTATACTGACATAATCAGTTACACGATGTAACATAAATTCACTAGCCGAGTATAGATTCATGTACTTGGTTCCGAACCAAACAGATATATATATCTGAAGTGGTTTTTGTGGATATTATAGCAATTTCAATAGTTAAGATCATGAGTCAATTGAAGCTAAACCATCATTGGAAACCTGGAAGCACTGGATAACCGTTTCGTCCTAATGTGGAACTCCTCAACAGTACACATCCACAGTCTCGCCCCGCGGGATTTAAACCCAAGATCTATCGGTACCGCTTGCGACCGCTGAACATTTAGACCACTGAGCCGGTTGGCATCCAACAGTGTTAATGTCTAACTTCAACCAATCCACGAAATTGAACAACACATCCACCATTGTCGTCAGAGAGTTACTATCTCACAACAGACCCGGTTGAACTCCACTGGTCACTACTTCACACTTGAACTCCAGAAATTACCTCTTCAAGCCAGTCAATAGTGAGCGTATGTTGTGTATATTATAGTAATGTATGTATAGTGATAGTTGAGTCAAGGACTTATCGGCTATAAAATATAACAGCCTCACTCCTGAATAAATGTTATTTGATTTCGATGCTTTCGAATCACTTTTATAAATTTATATCCTTTTAGATTGGAAGATTACAAGATGCTAAGGCTGATCTTCTTAAATCTATTCAAATTGAATCAAAATTATCATCTGCCTATTGGCATATACATTTTATATTCTTGCTTGAAGGTAAAATAAAAGAGGCATTATATCATTTGGAACAATGTATGAAATGTACTAATATGATTGAACCAATACAAAACTTTACTACTACTACTTCTAATAATAATAGTACTACTACTACGACGAAGACGGCGGCGGCAATGGTGAGGAGTACTACTACTACTACGACGACGACAACGACGGCGATGACCACGACTACTACTGACAACAGAAATAATAACAGTAATATGAAAAGTTTCAGTACTAATCTCCATCAGTTTCATCATGATATTCTTAATTCAAAAGCATTTATTTATTCATTATTAAATGATTCTAAAATGGAAATTGAAATATGGACAAAATTAATTCATTATAATCCGACATATGAATTAGCTTATGAGAAAAGAGCTAATCTTTATCTCAAGGTGATTATGATTTTTTTGTTTTTGTCTTAGTGAAAACACATAAGACTGATATTCAGAAATCAGAACATAACCAGAGATGGATAGTGACTGACGATGAAATCCAGGACAAAGAGTGTTTTGTCCTATTTGAGACTTGAAGTGAACGATATTGGGTTCGAATCCCGGAATGAACATCAACTTTAAGATGCAGGTACATTCGGCTGATGAGTACCAAATAGGACGAAACGCCCGTCCTATATTCCACTACTAGCCACTATCCATCTTTGCTTAAAATGCTTGTGAGTTAAGGCTATATCGAGATAATCTGCACAAGATGTACATACGTCAATAAGAGACTGTTCAATTGCAGTCCTAAACAACAATGGGAAGATACAAGTAAAATAACACCACGTGAAGCAAAACATAACTTTGATAAGATTTTAAACATGACACTTTCTTGATATACATGTGCCAATCAGATTTCCAATCGGTCTTCGAGTGTATTACAATGGGATCCAAACTAGAAATCTTTTTATAACTCCAGTTTACATTCACTTGGTATCGTTTTACTTAAATCTCCCCATTGACGTTTAAGACTGTAATTGATCAGTTTCTTATTCGTATATGTGCATACTGTGCGTATTGCCTCGATATAGCCTTAAGTCACAAGATTTTTAAGCAAAGATGGATAGTGACTAGCTAAAGAATTCAGGACGCCCGTTTCGTTCTATTTGGAACTCGCTAGCTGCATTTACCTACATCTCACAGTTGATATTCACTCCAGCCACTATTCGAACCCACTATCGTTCGTTTCAAACACCATCATGTTATTCACTTGACTACTGAGTTCTGATAGCCATTCGGTAAAGTTTAAATCCACTTGATATTATTTGCGATACTGGGTTCGAGTCTCAGAGTGGCTATCAACTGGTGGGACGTAGGTACATTCAGTTGACGAGACCTAAATAGGATGAAACACGTGGCCTGTATTCCACTGCTAGCCATTATCCATCTTTCCAGTTTATATTTCTATGAAAAATATATTCTTTTGAATGTTTATTCCATATAAGGAAAAATAACCTGATATTTATACTGATGTGTTTAAGATTTCGGTACAACATATAGGTATCTTCCATTATAAATTAAAATCAGCTGAAAAACAAGCAAAGAACATCTGTATGTCAAGTCGCGGTTCATTGTTCAATAAGTTTTCCTAACAAGATTCAGTAATGATACTTACCGAATGTCTTGGGTTGTAGTATGATTCAATAGAGAAGAGATTTTGGTAATGACTTTCTTATAGTATTTTCAACAGTGTAGACCGTAAGATGACATGAACGATTTTCGTATGAACCAACACAATTGATACACTAGCTTTATCTACCCTACATCACATATTCCCTTGATAATTAAACTATAAATAAATAATCCTTAAAAAGCTAAGTCAACTTAGTGAAATTTGACTCTACCACAAACCCTTCTAAAAATAGTAACTTGATTGCTGTTAGAGGTTTTGAGGGTGGTTACTACTTTCTGGTTTCCTATACCGTGGAACGGTTCTTCTAGAGGTACTTAGAAAGGGAAATGAGTCAGAGTTGGTCTCAATGACCCAAAAGCGTGACCGCACTACCTAGGAGACAACTGCTTAACGCCGACCACACACGACCTTTCTGTGGATAATTACCGTGTTAGCCCCGTACTTGTTGGAACCTTACCGCTGGAGACAAAAATCCATTGGATAAGGTGAGGTTCGCATTTTTATGGTCGACTTTTTCTAACCCCACCCCTCCTTGTAAGAAAGAAGCATCGTTGTTATACCGGTTGTTTGAAGTAAAAACAGCTTACTGCCGTCTAACTTCTGTACAATCAGCAGTACGACGTTGCCCTCGGACCTTGGGCTTACTGCTTTTAGTCTTACTTCTCCTCAACTCACCTGTCTGGTATGGTAGGACTTTGGAGAACGATTGTTCCAGCCAGTATAGCCCGATTGGGTATCGCAATAGGCAAGCCCTACCACCACGTCAAATGTAGCAGCAATTGTCGGAAAAAATGGTAACTAGAATTTAGCGAAACTTTCGTATGAAATAAATTGTATTCAACATTATCTATTTAATATGATAAAAGAACTCTAAAAAAAACTACCCAAAGCTACTTACATGTGTGAACGGCGTCCATTTTCGTTTAGCCGTAATAGACCAATACTAATGTTTCTAGTTGCAAAGCTTAACAAATGACGTTAGAATCTTTATCAGTATATGGGTGTCTATAAATCATACAAATGCTTGCCTGTGACAAAATGACTTCATTAGAAATTTTTATGTGAACAAATTATATTAATTAACACCGTATGGTACTGGCTCAGTGGTCTAGAGGATAGGCGTACGTGCACGAGACCGAGAGGTCATGGGTTCGAATCTCGAGAGGTGGGATCGTGGACGCACACTGCCGAGGAAACCCAGAATAGGACGAAACGGATGTTAAGTGATTCCAAGTTTTCTATGGTGGTCTGGCTTCAATTGACTTATGATCTTGAATAGTGAAATTTTATTGCTTTTCTTATTTGTTTCAGTTAAAAATGTATCATCAGGCAAATAGTGATTTTATGAAAATCCTCTGTATAAATCCCAAGTCAGTCTATGCTCAATTTCAATGTGGTTTATATAAATTTCACTCGAAGTAAGTAAACTTTTCATGACTTCACTCAGTTCCATTTTGTTGACTCAATGTATTAGGGAATGATGGTAGATTGGTTGATAAGGTTGTAAATATTCATCGACTGAGATGATTGGGACACGTGTTACGTATGCTTGAACACCGATTACCACAACGTGCAATACTGACTAGTCTTGGAGATGGTTTGGAAGAAAGTTAAGTGTGGCCAATCCAAAACATGGTATCCGTGCTTGAAGTCACTAACTTCTAGTTTGAGCCATGTTGTTAGATGTAAACTACTTAGTTGAGGTCAATCGACCTTATTCATTGTAAACTAATATCCATCTTAAGCAAAGATGGATAGTGGCTAGCAGTGGAATCCAGGACGCGCTTTTCGTCCTGTTTGGGACTCGTCATATATTTGTCTCAATTGCATTTCGTCCCTCAAAATAACCTTGAAAGTTCTCAAAGTGAGGCTCTTCAGTTCACTCATAGTTTCACTATTTTGACATTATCATATCTAAAAATCTAAATTTAGTTCAGATGTGGTGTATGTTACTGATGCCGATGGATATAAGTAGTATATATCATCAATCGAAAGTGAAATGCCTGGTGGCAGAAGGTTAAGAAGATCAAAGAAAAAAGAGAACGATCACAGTTATGATTGGTGTCGAAACGAAGGGACAATCATGTCTGAGATGTTTGATCGATACTACAAATGAAGTATTTACTGTATAGTTCTCAGATCTTAATAAGACGTTCTGTAACTTTTTATTCAGTTTCCCCCATTTGTGTTCTCGTTCACTACAGGAAGAGTACTTTAAATAGAATGAAACTAATGTACTGTATGTATTTCAAAAGAATTTCAATTACCAGTATAGGGTTGTAGAGATTATTATGTGCTCACTAGTGACTAGCCTCGTGAGGTAATTCTCGAAGTTCTAGTGAGAAGCCGTGACCAGTGGAGATAATCCGTGTTGGGCAGAGACAGGTATCTGCCTCAGTACAACGGAAGATGATCGCGCAATTTCGTAGATTGGTTGATGGCCGTTTCGTCTTATTGTGGGGCTCCTCAGCGGTGCGCAGTGGGTTTGTCGTTCAATTTCGTGGATTAGTTAAAGTTAGACATTAACACCGTTGGATGCTGACCAGCTCAATATTCTAGAGTTTAAGCGTTCGCGCGCGAGACTTAAGGCTCTGGGTTCGGATCCCGCGAGTGGGATCTTGGATGTCCACTGCTGAGGAAGGCCACAATAGGACTAAACGGCCTTCCAATGCTTCCAGGTTTTCAATGGTGGTCTAACATCAATCAGTTCATGATCTCAATCAAAAAATTTCAATTACGTTATCTACGTATTTACTTGGTAATTACTTTATCTAATCACTATCTTCTTATTCAATTCTTAGGGATTGGAGAACAGCAATCTCTTATTTTAAAATGGTTCTTGTTAATAATCCATCATATTTTGAAGCAAGATATTATTTGGCTAGATGTCTATTAAAATTATCTAATTATAATACAGCTTTAGCTGAATTAACAACTTGTCTTTACTTTCAACCATTGTATTATAAAGTAAGTTTATCTACGTTCACTTAGTATTGTTTGTTTAAATCTTTCCATTGAGGTTTTTTAAGACTGCAATTGATCAGTCTCTTATTAGCATATTTGCATCCTGTACGGATTGCCTAGGTATTGCCTTAATTCACAAGCATTCTAAACAAAGATAGATTGTAGCTGGCAATGGATTCTAAGACATATGTTTCGTTCTGTTTGAGACTCGACAACTGGATGTACCTACATCTCAGAATTTATGTTCACTCTAGCCAGGACTCAAACCGGGTACCGTTCGCTTCAAACGCCATAGCATTATTCACTTGACTATTGAGTCCTGATAGCCACTTGGTTGTTCAATGGAGTGAAGTTTAAATTTACTTGTTATCGTTTACTTGTATCTTCCCATTGATGTTTAGGACTGCAATTGATCAGTCTATTATCGGGATATGTAGCGTTTGAAGAGAACGGTACTGGGTTGGAGTCCCAGAGTGAACATCAACTTGAAAGTGCAGTTACATCTAGCTGTCGAGTCCTAAATAGGACGAAACGCGCTTTGTCATGGATTTCACTGCTAGCCGACATTCATCTTTGTTTGTAAACGAATAGTTAGTTTCTCATTCAAATTACTGTTTTTGAGCTCGTCTCAAACATTGTACCAAATTTTAGTGATCTCATCATAGAGGTCATTTTAAGAATGTATCATGGACCTTAGGACAAGTTTTTAATATACTAGTTTTTGATGATGCAATGAGATGTAGCTTATCAGAATTATATGACATATTTTGAGTAATATATTTGGAACAATCTGATCACACATAATATACTTGTTAAGCCATTTTTATATTTCAATAGTTGGGATCATGAGTCAGTTGGAGCTAGACCACCATGGGAAGCCTAGAAGCACAGGATGGCCGCTCCGTCCTGTTGTGGGAATCCTCAGCAGTGCGCATCCACGATCACGTTTCGCGAGGTTCGAAACCAGGACCTATCGGTATCGCGCGTGAGTGCTTAACCACTAGACCACTGAGCTTGTCGGCATCCAACGGTGTTAATGCCTAACTTCAACTAGTCCATGAGATTTAGCGACACATCCAGCATCCAACATTTGTATATGAAAACTAAAGGGCCAACTTGACCGATTAAAGGTAAGTCGTAAGAAAGAAGAAAGTACACGGAAACAATGCGATAACTACTCTGGATAATAAATCAATGTTACTAGGGCAGGTTAATGGTAAGAACAAATTGTTCTTTGGAATACATAAATAGGGTTTCAGTTTTCGTATAGCCAAGGCTTCAATAAACATCCTTGAAGGCCTTTATACAATACTACAAATGCTGACTTGATATCAATCTTATGGTCAGTCTCAATCAAATGTTTCGCAATGAAGGAAGATGTCTGTTTATCCTGTAATCTTATATGACTACTGGAATTCTTTTGTTTCTAAAGCCATTTGCGTATGTGCTCCGCTATTCTTATTTCTGATTAGCGTTTTTTTGGCGAGTTAGTTTTCCACGGGATGGGTTCGTTAACACCATGCCCAACCCTTCTCCCTTATCTGGGCTTTGGACCAGCAGTAGCACCAGAGGGGCCCTAGGAGGAGTTTCCGCTACTCTTAATTACAGTATATATTAGTATTAACATTATGAATTCATCCATAACTATACTTTACTACTTATAATAGTAATATATTGTAAATTATAACATCTTACTATTCATTATCATTATTATAGGCTTTATATATACGTGGTTGTCTACTGACTAAAACATGTCCATTACAATCATTACGTGATTTAACATTGTGTATATATGTTGGTAATCAAAAATATCAAACTATGGCTTTTATCCAACGTGGATTAATGTTTAATCAGTTAAAAAGGTATGTTATATATGTTCAGTAAATTCATTAGAACAATTCCTTGTTTAATAAATTTATCATGATACTAGGCTTAGAAGTGGGCATCTGTGCTACCTATCGTACGTGAGATTCGAAACTAGGACCTAAAGTTTCTGATAAGTCGTGTAGGTTGAACGCTATATACGAATCCTAAGCTATTCCCGTAACCCACAGACTAGAACTACACAGCGACTTGAACTCCAGAGAGAAGACACAAGTATGAGAGAAAACACTTTATCCCAAGGTTCATTTTAGTACAGAAAATCAAGGGTATTTATAGATGTTGGCGTCTGTTAAATCAACATCATATTTCAGCCAATCCGTTAACGTCATATTATGCTACCGACCAATGGTAGCACGCCACGCTGGAATTCTCGAACGTTCCGCCATACTCTGATTGGCTAGGGCCCTTCGGCTCCTTTTTGGGCCTCTGGAGGCTCCGTTAAAGTTCTCCGGAAGCCAACCCAACAGTTTCCTCGCTAAAACGCTTAAATTTCAGACTACACTGATCCACGATAGTAGTGTACAAGTCTACCTTTAGTCAATCTATTCTATTCTATGGTCATCTTCTATTGTCTTCGAAGGATAACTGATTCACACTTGACATGTTTGAACTATACAAGTCACAAATTTTCACTAGAACTTCAAGAATTTCCCTTCAAAGCTAGTCACTAATGAAGATATGATGATTTTCAGTATAGACTGTTGAAGATTGTTGAGTTTCATTATGATCATATGTCCGAATTACCCCCATAGGAGTGTACATATACACTTCTGAGTCGTTCCATTACTAGAATGAAACAGCAGTTCGTTGCTTCTAGATTTTCAATGATGGTCCAACATTAGCCGGTTAGTGGTTCTAATATTACTGAATTATTAAGACTAAATGATTAAGTGCTCGCGCGCGAAACCAGTAGGTCCTGGGTTCGAATCTCGCAGGGGGAGAGGTCGTGGATACGCACTGATGAGGAGTCCCACAATAGGACGAAACGGCCGTCCAGTGATTCCAGGTTTTCCATGGCGGTCTAGCTTCAACTGACTCATGATCTTAACCATTGAGATTATATATTTGTTAGTTTTCAACAAGATTCTGTCAGTAGTTGAATCTCGAAGTTTATGCCTAAATAAATAATCAGAATCACTTACTGGCTCAATAAACTAGTGGATTAGGTTTTAATGTTTTAAACAATAGTTGTTAGCATCAAGTCTCACAAAAAATATCACCATGCATCTAGATGCATTCAAACTGGATTGCGTCAACATATGAACTAAGAATAGGTATTGAAGTAGACGAACATGTTGACAACTTCATTTATCTGGGAAGTTGGATCGACCCTAATTAGTTGGTGTCTGACATAATCTATGCACGGACTTACAAAGCTCGCTCGGCTTTAGCTAACTTACGTCACCAATGACGAAGGCGATTGATATGGTTCAACCACGTGTTACGCATTCACAACCACCGGCTACCACGGCGCGTAATGCTGACTAGTGTTAGAGACAGTTGAAAGAAAGTTACGGGCGGCCAAATCAAAACACGGCATCAATCCATGAAGTCACTAACTTCTAGTCTTAGCCATGTTGGTAGATTCGGACTACTTGTTCAGGGTCCGCGCGACCATCGTAACCAGTGGTTAGAAACTCTAGGTGACATATTGGCGTAGGTTCATATACTCTTTGTCTTCCCTTAAACTGTGAGATCGAAATTACTTGATTCCTTTCTTTCTATGAACTAGTTCTTTCTCCCTGTATCACATCGTAATATGAATCCATTTTTTACTACCATTGAAGTAACTACTTCTATGAATCCGGTGTTTATGTTGTTGCGCTAATGAGGTGTGGCGACTTGGACCGATGCATATATATGTGCCTGGTCCAACATTGCAGCTAACTGAATGACTGAAATCTCCCCTAATATCCTTAGAACTTTTGCCTTCCGACATATTTAGATGTTCATAGTGAAGGATATTCGTAGGTTACTAGTATTCGATTATAGGTGTCTTCGAAGCATTGCTCTTATATCCTGGTACCATCGAGTAAGTAATTAAGTTGTTAGCAAACAGGTACTAGATAAAGACAGCAAATCAAGTGATGAAGTAGTGAAACTTCATCAGCCGAGATGACTGGGATACGTGTTACGTATGCCCAACTACCGACGTGCGATGTTTTATGGTGTAGGAGTAGGTTGTAAGAAAACTAGGGACAGCCAGACCAAAACATGGCACAAATCCATAAAGTCACTGACAAGTAGACTGAGCCATGTTGGTAGGTGTAGACTACCCGGTTGGGATCCACGAAACGATAGCAATCGATGGTTAGAGACGTTGAATGACATAGCTCAAAATCGTTTGCAATGGCGCAGATGCATCCATTCTTTGTGTCCTCCCAAATTCGAATCTTCTGAATTCTTCATGTCCCATTCTTTTTCTTTCTCTTTCCAAATTTATTTCACTGGATTTTTATTTTTTTTAGGTATAAAATGGCAGTACATGATTTTCAAGCAGCTTTGAATAATGGATTTCCTCAATCAACTGATATCTACCGTCTGTTAGGATTAACCTATATACAATTGAATCTAACAACTAGGTTAGTTTACATTAATATGTTATAGTGTATAATCATAGAGCTATTCAAGCGTATACAAATGGAATAAATAAAGAAACAATACCAGATATAAAATTGTTATTATGTAGAGCAGAAGCTTATTATCAATCAAATCAAGTAAGTTTCCCGAAGAAATTTCCTCTTTTTTTACAATCTTATGTACAACTGAAGTTTATATTATTATTATTATTATTACGTTCCAGTGGGCAGAGTTAGCACTCCTTCTCGAAATGGTTTCATATGGCCATGCGTATACAGCCACTACTCACTGCCTTCTTACGACATTACTGTTGGCGTTTTAACCGGGTTAGTGAACACAGAGAATTCACATGAGTGGAGTTAGAAAATCCTGACTCCAAAACAATGATTCACATGAGCTCCAGGATTCTGACGAGGTTAATGACGTATGAACCAATTATTGGTCACCGGCTAATAAGGGACAGCATCTCCTGACGTTGCTCCACTATCTTGTGGATCAGACCATTAGGTCAAAGGTTCCGGGTGTGGCCTCTTAAGAAAACTATGTGCTTCGGTTTGGGCACCCGGGCAGTATCCTATTAATGAACTGCTTTAGTTCAGATACCAATGAAACATCGTTTTATGGCAAGTTGATCAAGGTCTAAAATATGTTTTAGTGGATATCAGCCCAATTGACTTAGATTGTATCTCATTCCCAATTATAAGTTTGTCATATTGAAGGATCTTCTTCTTTCAATGTTTATTCATCTAACATCATCAGTAAGAAGAACAGTTCCTATTCATGTTAGTTTGTGTGATGAAAACTACATTTTAAACTAATCAAAACCTTCCTAAACTACCTACTTAAATGACCAACAATAATCAACTAAAAGAAGTTTAGATACCGATCAACTAAACACACAAAAAATCATATCAAATGACCGTGTTCTAAATAATCAAAGGATTGAACAAATTCCTCTGTTACAACCCAATAAGAATGGTTGACAGTGATGTACCATTTCCTACATTAAATAAGATCTTACATTTGATCAATGCCATACTTTTGCATTGTATTGAATGAAATAGATCTGAGGAGTCCCATACTAGGATGAAACGACCATCCATTGCTTCCAGGTTTTCCATGGTGGTCTAGCTTCAATTGACTCATGATTTCAACCAGTGAAATAGATCTTGTAATGGTTTAGCTTCGTTAATCAATCACCTCGATAACCATGATTATATAAATGTCAAAGATGTTTTAAATCAACAGGCAATACGAAGTGGTGACTACAGTTTATTTGTGGATAGAACAGATAACAAAGTTACAATCACATCGAGTGAATTTGGAACAAAGAGGTGAATGCGTATATGCAAGCGAATACAGAGGCTAATTTATAGTCAAATCGAATCAAGACTCAGCTAAGCAAGGTAAGGGTTAATAATAGGATTCGAGTACATAGATACATGGAGAAGAGAATGATCTATTGACTGATATTTAGACTATCAACAATCAAGTTAGAGAGAGGTATGCGTAGTCTGTCATTTATGATCAAGAGTACACGTCTATACAGACAAGATAGTGATCATAATAGTACAAACTGTTCGAATAACATAGTCTGTTAAGTAAGTTAATAAAAAGGCTGAACAAAATTTAAACATAATCAAGATTGTATAATGAGTTGCTATAATCTATCATTCACACATAAGATAGATAATTATTAAGTAGTTGCGTGGATTAAACAACATTATGGAGGTATATTCGACGCTACGGCGTGCCTAAGAAGATAGTCAATATCATACGGAATTCTTATGATGGATTTAACTGCAAAGTCGTGCATGGGGAACAACAAACAGACTCATTCCAATTAAAGATCGGTGTCAAGCAAGGTTGATTACGTTCTTTCTCCTGGTGATCGACTGAATTACGAAGACGTCAACATCTGGGAGGAAGCACCCAATACAGTGGACAGCTAGGATGCATCTGGAAGATTTAGACTCCGCAGATGATCTTCTATCACATACGCATCAACAAATGCAAGAGTAGACGACCAGTGTAGCAACAGCCTCAGCAGCAGTAGGTCTAAACATACACAAAGGAAAAAGCAAGATTCTCTGATACAACACAACATGCACCACTCGAATCACACGGAGAATATTTGGAGGATGTAAAAACCTTTACATACCTAGGCAGCATCATTGATGAGTACAGTGGACCTAGTGCAGATGTGAAAGCGCGAATCGGCAAAGCGAGAGCAGCATGTCTACAATAGAAGAACGTCTGGAACTCAAAACAACTGTCAACCAACACCAAAGTCAAAATCTTCAATACAAATGTCAAGACAGTTCTTTTGTATAGGGAAGAAAACTTGGAAAACTACAAAAGTCATCATCCAGAAGATACTGTGGGAGATAACAAATCAGATTCCAGCGGAGGAAGAAATCAGGAAGAAGCGCTGGAAGTGGATAGGACACACATTGAGGAAAGTACCCACATGGCGAGCCCTCACTTGGAATCCTCAATGCCAAAGGCGAAGAGAAAGACGAAAGAACACATTAAGTCGAGAAATGGAGACAGATATAAGAAGAATAAACAACAATTGTATATAACTGGAAAGGAAAGCCCGTGGCAGATTGGGTTGGAAAATGCTGATCAGCGTCCTATGCTCCACTGGGAGTAACAGGCGTAATTAAGCAGTAAGAAGCTATCGTATTTATCTAAGCCTTTATAACTGATCCAATTTTATCGGCTACATTATCGTGTGAACACCAATCTAAGCGGCTCGATAATTAAAAGCATCGTGTCTCTCCTTTGTATCCTATGTTGACTAATCTAAACTGTTATAACCCAATGATTAATAAAATCATAACTGATATTTCATTACAAAATGTAAGATGAAATTTCACTTTCATTATTAATTTAATAGTTGAATTCATGAGTCAAATAAAACTAGATCACCATGGAAAACCTGGAACTATTGGATGTCCGTTTCATCCTGGTATCGAACTCCTTAGCAGTACGCATTCACTGGATTCGAACCCAAGACCTATCAATCTTACAAGCGTACAGTTAACCTCTTAAAGAGTTCCATACTAAGACGAAACGGCCGTTCAATGCTTCCAGGTTTTCCATGGTTGTCAAGCTTTAATCGACTCCATAACCACCACAACCATCCTACCCCATATTGAATGAAATGCTCTATTTTGTTGTTGTTGTTGTTGTTGTTGTTTTCTTCTACTGATTCTTTTCCATAGTTTAACAAGGCAATATTCGATATACAACGTGTGATACATTTAAGTCCTCATTTAGCAACTACTTATTTATTACTTGCAAATTATTTATATAAATTAACAAATGCTCAATTGATTCAACGTTCTATTCAACAATATTTAAGTTTAGCCGAAGAATGTGTAATTCATAAACAAGCTAAACAAATGGTAAATATGTGTAGTATTGTGTTTATTATTATTATTATTACTATTATGATTGACTTAACCACTCCTATGAATCCGGTGTTCATCTTGTTGTGCTAATGAGATGTGGCAACTTGGACCGATGCATTTATGTGCCTGGTCCTACGTTGTAGCTGACTGACTGACTGATATACGGAGGAACCAGATGTATATGCACCACATTTCGTCATTCGACTTGTGTAGGAGCTGTGATACTGATCGGCTACGCAAACGATTATATCGCGATGAGAATATAGGGATGGTAACTGTTTGGATCAATTTATAGATCAATATGATACATGTATTTGTTTATTGTGTAATTGTTAAGTAATTAAACTATGTATATTCATTGTCCTCTTATTATAAGCTTTATTTTGACTTATAGAATATAATTATACGACTTGCCGTTCTTGAGTTACGCCCAGGCTGTTCGGCGAGACTCTAATTTATGGACAACCTTTGAACGAATCTTAATTAACCTTGAGAAATATTAGCCAATCAGCAAACAGTCAGTATAGAGTATAAATATGTTATACAAAACCAAGGAACTAAAGTGGATACACTTCTTATACATGGTTTAAAGACTTGTCAATGGTAGAAAGAGGTTCAGAGGTCCTATAACCGTAATGCATGCAGTAGAGGAAATCATCCATACGGCTACAGAATAGTCGGCCTCTGGAGACATGATAAAGTCTCAAAAACTCTTTCAACCTCGACCACATAGCTTCAATATTGCTGTTGTGCACTCCGATTGTGGAGTGCACAAAATGCCACTAGTGGATAACGACATGATGCACATAACCAAGCCTATGTAGAAGTCTGTACGCTCTCCAATCTTCCGTATATATTGTAGTACCTGGCTGCAACCAGTGTTACTCGTGCTTTTATTATCCAGTTTGCAATAATTGCCTTAGTTAGGAATTATATATTGGGTTTTCATGACGAACTGACACAAGCTATAATGCCAGAAATTTATTTAGCCAAATGGATGAAAGGCTTTCACGTTCAAATCCGAGATCTATTATCTTATACCTGATTGATTCGTCCACAAATTATAGTCTCGCTGTTTTATTTGTTATAGCCGCTAAATTATCACGTTTTGTACAAACTTCCCTGTGAACCGATTGTACATTAGCATCAAGCACTGAAGTTGGCGCTGTAACCTTTAAATCTCTAAAACGCTTCTGATTGGCTCGTCCATAAATTATAGTCTCGCCGGCTGTTCATTGCAGTCTCCCACATTCACAGCGACTTTTGGCTAGATCTTGTACGTATGGTCTGTTTGGTTTGTGTATAAACCCAATGTATTTGAAATACATGATTGTATGTCACAGAGGCTGAGGTTGGTGTCCTAGACTCAACAGGCAGACTGGGCTTGTTAGGAAGAAGGACCGATAAAGACTGTAGACTGTTCGTACGAGTTTTCTAATTCACTGTTCTCTAATTGGCGGTATTATTACGTTGTATATAAAATAGAGCACAAGGTCACTAGTTATAACACAAACCGAAGCAAGTGGTGTTCTCACGGGACCACACCCGGAGCCTTTGATCTACAGGTACAATCCACAAGACAGTGGAACAGCGTTAGGAGATGCGGTTCCATGGTAACGTGTGACCAACAGTAGGTTCATACGTCATTTGTTTCCTTAGGATGCTGGAGCTTATGTGTATCATTGGTTTGGAATAAGAGTTTTCCTACTACCCTGTGTGCATTCTTTAAATCCACCAACTCAGATAAAGCATCAGATATCCCTGTCTCATCCTCTCGATTTCGTAAACACAACTGGTGCCACGAGAAGGTAGTGAGTGAGAGTTTCATTGACAGTGGTTGTATACGTGTGACCATGTACGAGCATTTCAATATATAGAGAGAGGTGACTCTCCCCACCCTCGACCGTACCAAGGTATTTGGGGGGGGGCGTATTATTTTTTATGTTATCTACACGAGAAATTGATTGAGCTTTGAAGCATACTTTAGAGAATGACAACACCAGCGTGAATAACCATTACATGTTATCTCGGTAAAATTTAAGAATTATACAGTAGATACTTCATTTACAAAAATGTACATCAGTTGTCTCAAACTTCACTTCTCAAACCAATCATTCTATGTTCTCATTCTTTTCTCTTCGATGTTTTTTCAACTTTCTACCGTCAAGCATTATACTTTCGATCAATGATACATACTACTTATATCAGTCGATATCAGTAGTACACACTACACTATCATTTTCATAAGAAAACTGTTGAGATAATAGTTTTTTTAAATAAACAAACTTGAATTTTCAAACAAGGCATTGTTTACAGAAGAGTTATTAAGGTATTTCAATGTTATTCAAATAAAATGCAATACTAATATTACTTATTTGATATAGTACATGGTCAATAAACAAGTGACGAAGCAACTACAAGTATACCAGTCCTACTGTAAACTATTCAAGGCTTATAAAGCTGAGTAGTTACATCTAAGGCTGTAAAACTAGGCCATATGGGCTCGAATATAGCAGAGAACACAAATCTCTTCAAGATCATAGGTAAACTTTGATAAAGAATGCTAACTCGCATAAAACCAGATCTATATTATGTAGTCTATGTTACTTATGTCGATATAAGTAATATATAACACCAGTCAGAAATAGAATGCCTGGCAGAAGAAGATTGAGAAGATTGAAGAGTAAAGAACAGGAATAGAAAGCTATCAGTATGAAAATGCAGGTAACAATGAAGTCTGAGACAATGAATGAACATTTTGCAAATGAAGTATTGCTCTCTCCTGTGTTCTCCTTCACTACAATATGACAGAAAAATGATTTATTAAGTTATTAAGATAACAAAAAAATAAAAAGTATTTATGAAATCATTAGTCACTGTTGAATTCTACAAACATTTCGACGGATAAGATATCAGGATGAGTATGGAAAGCTACTATTTGATTTATCCTGGCCGTTTCGGCCTAGTATGAGACTCCTCAGCAGTGTGAATCCATAATCCCACCACGTGAGATTCAAACTCAGAACCTTTCAATACTCTCAAATTACATTCTATCGATGAGACGATACACCCAACTGCGTCACAAAGCAAGCATTTAATCCTCAAAGCCAAAGAGAAAAAAGAATACCAAAGAATACATTACGTCGAGAAATAGAGACAGACATGAGAAAAATGAGCAAAAATTGAACAGAACTAAAAAGGAACGCCCAAGACAGAGTGGGTTGGAGAGTGCTGGTCAGCGGCCTATGCTTGATTAGGGAGTAACAGGATTAAGTATATAAGTAAGTAGGATGAAACTATAATTTCTGAACGAACCAATCAGATTTGAGATAACAGATCTTAGATTTTTGGCACGAAATTCATTCACTCCTTTAACTGAATACCATTTTAGCATTATAGCTGTTATCAGTTCATGATGAAAACACCCAACTCTAATTCCTCACACTAATATATAACCTTCATTTAACCTTGACAAGTTGATGGTCACTTCAAGGTCATTTTGGTGTTGTTCAAAGGTCATCGATCATTTTATCTTCTCTCTTTGTTTTCTTTTTTTTATATTAATATTACATCATAGGCATTAGCGTATTACTATCTGAAGAAATATAAAGAAGCTGAGACCATTCTATTAGAAGATACAACAAAGCATCAATTGGTATTAAGTAATATATTATTACTTGGTCTCATCATGGATAAACAACAAAAAACAATGAATTCTATTGAATTATTAGTAAATAGTTTAAAGAAATTAGTAAGTTAAGCTTTGAATATTGATAGATTTGTTAACTATACTTAAGCAAATTCATATGATGCATTATAGGTTAATCTTAATTTGAAGAGTTATTTAGTCTATGTCAGTGGAAATCCGCAACTTTCAGGCTAGTATCCAGAAGTTACGGTATCTATGTTCAGTTAGCCTCTGAATACCCTGGTACAGTCGAGAGAAGAGAGTGTCAACTCTCCCTTTCGAAGTGGTCTCACATGACCACGTGCATACATTTACTACCAGGGAAGTTTTACTCACTATCTTCAAGTGGCATTATTGTTATTTACGAAATTGAGAGGATGAAAAGTGAATGTTCGATGCTCTAACCGGATTGGTGGATATTCAGGATCCATCTAAGGGGAGTTAGAAAACCCTCATTCCAAACCAATGGTGTAAGAACCAACCTTTGGTCACCGGCTACCATGGAACTGAATCTCCTTACGTTGTTCCACTGTCTTATAGGTCATACCTTTAGATCTAAGGCTCCTGGTGCGACCGTCTAAGAAAACCACGTGATTCGATTTGGACACCCGTTTAGTATCTCAGACCTCATAAAAATCGATTGGTTTATGTGGCGCATATGTATTTGGCACGTTTTCGTATTAGTGTTCATGTGTTTAAATAAATAAGTTTAATCAGTTCACGATATCGCACAATCATTTAGTAGGATTACAAACGAAAGAATACAACAAGAAATATATGTTACTTACTTACTTATTCATGCCTGTTACTCCTCGTGGAGTAGTATAGGCCGCTCACCAGCATTCTCTATACAACCCTGTCATGAGCAATCCTTTCCAGCTCTTCCAATTGTTATTCATCCTTTTCATATCTGCTTCAATTTCCCGACGTAATTTGTTCTTTGGCCTTCCTTTTTCCCGCTTATTTTCAACATTTCAAAGTAGTACTTGGATTGTGATGAAGTTTGATGATTTCCGTAATGTATGTTCTATCCATCTCCTTCGTCTTTTCCTATTTTTTTCTTCAGGTTGAAGCTGGTTTATTCTCTCCCCCAGTAGGCTGTTGCTGATGGTATCCGGCAAATGGATGTTGAATGTCTTGTATAGACAACTGTTTATAAATACTTGTACTCTTTTGATGATGGTTGTAGTACTTCTCCAAGTTTCAGCTCCGTACAGTAGAACTGTCTTGACGTTCGTATTGAAGATTGTGAGCTTGATATTGGTTGACAGTTCTTTTGAGTTTCATATATTCTTCACTTGTAGGGATGCGGCCCTTACTTTGCCAATCGTCGCCTTTACGTCTGCATTGGATCCTCTTTGTTCATAAATGCTACTCCCTAGGTACGTGAAAGATTCCACATCTTTCAGAGTTTCGCCTTCAAGTTTGGATAGGTTGGTGTTTTCCGTATTCTATTTGAGGATCCTGGTTTTCCCTTTGTGTATATTGAGGCCTACTGATGCAGAGGCTGTTGCTACACTAGATGTCTTCTTCTGCATTTGTTCATGCGTATGAGATCGAAAAGCTAGGTCATCTGCGAAGTCCAAATCATCTAATTGGTTCTGAGCTGTCCACAGTATTCCATGTTTTTCCTCAGATATCTAGGTCTTCATAATCCAGTCGATCACCAGGAGACAGAGGAAGAGGGAGAGTAGACACTCTTGTATGACTCCGGTCCTTACATGGGATGCATCTGTCAACTGTCCTCCACACACGAATTGGCACTGTAGTCCGTCGTATGAGTTGCGAATAATTTTGACATTCTTCTCAGGTACTCCACAGTGTCGACGAAGTTTCCATAATATTCTCCTATCTACATTGTCAAGCGCCTTCTCATAATCCATTGAGTTGATCTATAATGACGAGTTCCACTCAATTGATTGTTCGACGATGATCCTTAGTGTCGCAATTTGATCTGTACATGACTTTTCCTTACAGAATCCAGCCTGTTGATCTCGATATTAGGCGTCTACTGTGTGGATCAGTTCAGATGAATGAATTAATTCCAATGAATATATATATATAGATCTTTTCAAACATCAGTATATAATAACTATTCTCTATCATGAAATGAAAGTACCAACAACAACAAAAAAAGGAATATGATTACATAACTATAAGTGTTTGTCATTACTCAACACTATTTACTCTCATGCCTTCATCATGGATCAAACCTAAGAGCCTGTCAATAATGTATCGACGAATGATACCCTAAAACTATTTATTCTGGTTAGCGTTTTGTTACCAAGTTAGTTTTCTACGGGATAGGATCGCTAACCACCATACCCAACCCTCTTCCTTTATCCGGGCTTGGGACCGGCAGTAGCCTCCGGAGGGACTCCTGGCAGAGTTAAAACTATTTATTCAATATACTGTATTTCATATTTCTTACATCAGTCATATCTTAATAAGGATCTAACTATCATTGTTTTGTCTTTTATTTATTACATAATACTATAGAATTGTAAAAAACTTGAGAAAATAGAAATCTATAATCATCTTGGTCAATATTATATGAAAATAGGAGATTATATACCAGCTATTCAAGCTTTTACAAGTTTCATTCATTATGATCCTCATAGACCACATGTAAGTATATATGTAAGTATGTATGTATGTTTATGTGTGTGCATGTATGTAAGTAGTATATGTGTATGTATATTGTATGTATGTGTGTATATGTATTTATGTTGTATGAATGTATGTATGTATGTATATATTCGCCTATTATTATTATTATTATCCGAAAGTTCCACTAATGAGTTGAACATAGTACCTGTTAGATCTATTGAAGCATCCAAGTCACCTGATTGAGATACGCGGAAAATCGAAGTTTCCAAAGTAACGATTTGTCTACAATAGCCGGTTCTTTATTGAATAATACACAAAATTTAGTTACAAACCTTAACTTGTGAGGTGTCTGGGACGTTTAAACACGTCCTTCAAGTATGAAAATAAAATGGCTTCCTGTAAAAGTAACATAAAGAATAATTATACCATACGATAGTACAAAAGACAGCTGATAGCTGTGTCTATATCTATATCAAGAGCAAAACATTATGGAAACTGTTGCGTTTAAAAAAATGCACAAGACTATGGATAACCGCTATAGTGATTAAGGTATAGTGATTATAATGATAAATACAATGATAAGTACAATAAACGTTATAAGTATGTGTGAACAGTTCAGGATAATACATACAACCTACAACATAAGTGTAAACATTGTTGGGAATACAACTGCTTACTCAATATAAATAAGTAGTATAAAACACAATATACAACGGAGTGGTAAGGGAGTGAGTAGGAGCAAAGACAAACTTAACAGTACCCCTGATTGAAAGTTTAAAAAAAAAACAGTTTTGGAATGTTTCACCACTTAGAATCTAAATACACCATGACAACTACATTCTCTACATGATCTCCTAATTTCAAACAATTCAAAACCAGGTTTTTTTTGTGGATATTATACTAATTTTAATGGTTGACATCATGAGTTAATTGAAGCTAGACTACCATGGAAAACCTGGAAGCACTGGAAAACCGTTTCGTCCTATTTTGGTACTTATCATCAGTGCGCATCCGTGATCCCGCCTCCCGGAATTCGAACTCAGGACCTATTAGTCTTGCACGCGAACGCTTAACCATGAGACCACTGAGCCGGCATCCAACAGTGTTAATGTCTAACCTCAACTAATCTACGAAATTGAGCGACACATCAACCATTGTCATCAGTGATAGGTCCTGGGATTGAATCTCGAGGGGGGGAGAGGGATCGTGGCTGCAGACTACTGAGGAGTCCTACAATAGGACGAAATGGCCATCCATTGCTATCAGGTTTTCCATGGTGGTTTAGCTTCAACTGAATCATGATCTTACCCATTTAAATTGATTTTCTGTTTAAACATATTACATACTGATATTTCAATAAATTAATTTTATTCATAAGGTTTACTTATATCGTGCTCAATCTACATGTCAATTGATAGCTATACACCTTCATAAAAGAACTACCTTACCTAACGATTTCAATGATAATGTATTAAATGATATAAGTCAAGCATTAGTTTTAATCCATTCTAAAACGTCTTCAGTAGATCAAATTCATTTGAATGGACCTATGAAATATGTTGATTTAATTGATCAATGTTTATTAACACGAATTATATATTTTGGTATCAATCAACGTTATACAAAAGCTATACTTAATTGTAATGAAGTTATTCATAGAAGATCAGAATGGACAAGAATATGGATTTATCGGTAATTGTTTAATAATAAAGTTTTAATTGATATATAGTTAGTTAATAGTTGAGTTCATAAGTCAGTTAATGTTAAATAACCATGGAAAACCTGGAAGCATTGAGTGATTGTTTCGTCCTAATATGGGACTCTTCACAAAACCCTCTTTCTGATAATAATAATAATAATCATATACTCACTAGTGGCTGGTTTCAAGAGGTATGTTCTGGGGTGCTAGAGAGAAGCAGTGACCAGTAGAACTCAACCAGGTCTTATATGAGATAGTGACTGACTGAAGATAATGATGGACGAGGGAGCAATTTTTTACATTGGTTGTAGTTAGACATTAAAAGCATTGAATACCGGTTTAGTGATTTAAAGGTTAGACGCTCGTGCACGAAACCGAAGGTTTTGCCTTTGAATCTCGCGAGCGGGATCGTGGATGTGCACTGCTGTATAGTACCATACTAGGACTTCACTGCATACAACCATTGCCAGGGAAGTCCTACTCACTAACTTCTTGCACCACGGGTGTTTTTGACGAAATTGAGATGACGAAAGACGAATATCCGGCACTTTAACCGGGTTGATGGATCCACAGAGTCCACCTATAGGAGTTGGAACACCCTGATTCCAAACCAATGGTGCACATGGGCTCTAGTATCCTGAAGGAACAATGAGGATGAAACCAATCGTTGCTCACCGGCTACCGAGGGACTGCATCTCCCGACGTTCCTCCACTGACTTGTTGATCAGACCATTAGGTCAAAGGCTCCGAGTGTAGATTGTAGTAATTTAATAGTTCAGTTCATGAGTTGATTTAAGTCAGACCAACTTGGTAAACCTGAGAGCACTGGACAGCCGTTTCGTTCTAGTATAGGATTCCTCAATAGTGTACATCCACGTCCTCATACGCGGGACTCGATACGAGGACCTTGGATCTCGTGTGCGAACACTTAATCTCTAGATCATGGTGGTCTAGCTTTAATCAACGACTATTAATCAATCTTTCTCAGAAGTATTTTAAAATTGTAAATAGTTAATATAAATACAATCGAACTGTTTCTAAAGCGTCATATTCCACCGATAAATTTATGTTTTTAGCAATATACCATAACAAGATGTGAATCAAGTCTATCCTTCATTAGTTATAGGAGTACATTTTCCCCAGATATTTTACTTCAGTGTACCTGAGAAATTGAAATATTGAAATTATGTGTAAAGTAAATCCAGAGATATAACATATACTAATGAGCCATAAGCAAAGATGGATGATGGTTAGCAGTGGAATCCAGTTTGACGCTTGTTTCGTCCTATTTGGGACTCGTCGACTGGGTGTACCCGCAACTCAGATTTGATATTCACTCCAGCTGTGACTCAAACCCAGTATTGTTCGCTACAAACGTCATCACGTTATCTACTCAATTACTGAGTCCTGATAGCCTGAATTCCACTACCGGCCACCATCCATCTTCGCTTATAATGCTTGTGAATCAAGGCAATATCGAGGCAATGTACACAGAATGCACGTATGCCAATTACAGACTAATCAATGTTAGTCTTAAAAAACCTCAATGGGAAGATTAAACTAAACAATAAGAAGTGAATTTATACTAATGGACGTTTAAGGAATGTACTTAGACCAAGTTTTGTACGAAGCAAACTAGAACAGAAAAATGAGATTTAATCATATAAACCAAACCGCTTAGTAACAAAACTACTGAAATGGTAATGAAGTTAAAACCATAACGTTTCCTTTTGTACAAATAACTGATATGATAATTATTCATAGTTATATAATATACCCTTGTGGGCCATAGTAATTTTACATTGGTTTTCAGGCGAACCAGACATCATCCAGACTTTCACGTGACAACCCAAACAGTATAGCTCAGTCCCGTTTCACAGGAGAACCAGACACCATATAGGCTTTAACGCTACAATCTGAATAGTACAGCTCAATCCTGTGACACAGCCACATAGATAACAAGCACCCTGGTGGACCATTCGCACCACTCATATACACATTCATATCGCATGTATAATAATTATTCCGATCAATGATCGCATGAATCAATTATGCACAACACGAACAGGCCAAAGATGACCTATTCTGCTTACACAACAGTCAAACTCATTAATGTTAGCAAAAGCGACATGCCTTAGAATGTTCCTTGAGAACACTGAAAAGCAACTACCAGTATGAATTGAATCAGTTAACCAGCAAACCAATTTTGTGCATAATCAGTCAGTAAAACTTACCAAAGCAAAGCCGAATCATCCACAATATCAATGGCGAACCTCTCGTCTCATATGAAACCTTTAGCTTTACATAGAAATATAGTTGTAATGGTTATTTATGGACAATGTGATCATAATCATATTTAAGTAAAAGAAAACACAGCTAATGGAAGGAATCAGATGTTGGACGAATCATTTTGGCACGGGCTTGAGTTATTGGGTTATCATCAGTCGAATGGAAGTGGAATCAATACTTTATGCACTGTTAAAGTATTGTAATCTATAAACTCAAATACTTATTTACATTCACTTGATGTTGTTTACTTGTATCTTCCTATCGTTATTTATGACTACAACTGATCAGTCTCTTATAGGCATATGTGCATCCTGTGCGGATTGCCTCGATATAAGCTTAATTCACCAGCTTTTTAAGCAAAGATGGATAATAGCTAGCAGTGGAATCCAGTTTGACGCGCGTTTCGTCCTATTTTAGGACTCGTCAGTTGGATGTACCTACTTCTCAGGGTTGATGTTCACTCTAGGACTTCAGTTCATGTTTTTCTTTTTGTTCACTTTTTTTCTTTCTACTTCAGTGGTGTATACAAATATTTATTAAAAAATATGGATTTTTGTGAAGCTGATTTAAATATATCCATAGAAAAAGATCAGAAATCTTCTTTAGCTTATTATAATCGTGGTTTATGTCGTCAAACACAAGATAAATGGAATGATGCAATTGAAGTACGTAAATTATTTTTGAATTAATAATGATTCTACTTAAAAATTATTTCAGTAGTATCTAAATGAGAAAATTCAATTTTCCTTGGAGTGTATTATGAAGTAATAATGGGTAAGTTGTGATTTAGAATTATTTTGGAGGAGAATAGGCCGCCCACTAGCACTCTCTATCCAAAAATGTCCTATGAAACATTTTCCACTTGTTTCCAGTTTTTGTTCATTCTTTTCATGTTTTCTTCTTCAGCCTTCCTCTTTTCCGTTTCCCTTCAACATTCCAAGACAGTTTGATGATTTCCGAAATGTGTCCTATCCACTCTCAATGCATTTTCCTAATATCCTCTTCATCTGGAAGTTAATTTGTCCTATCCCACAGTAGGCTTTTGCTGATGGTTTTCGGTCAACAAACACTGAGTATCTTGTGTAGACAATTGTTTATAAATACTTGTACATTCTCCACGTTTCAGCTCCATACAATAAGACGGTCTTAACATTCGTATTGAAGATTGTGACTTTGATATTGGTTGACAGTTTCTTTGAGTTCCATATGTTCTTCAACTGTAGGAATCCTGTCCCTGCTTTGCGAATCCCCACATTCACGTCCGCATCCGACCCTCCTTGTCCGTGGATGATGCTGACCAGGTACGTGAAATATTCCACGTCTTCCTGAGTTTCTTCATCAAGTGTGATTTGTTTGGTGTTCTCAGTGTTGTGTCTGAAGATCTTGCTTCTTCTTTTTTGTATGTTGAAGCCTACTGTTGTAGAGGCTGCTGCTACACTAGTTGTTTTCATCTGCATTTGTTGAAGTTTATGGGATACCAGGACCAGGTCATCTACGAAGTTCAAATCTTCTAGTTGATCCCGAACTTTCCATAGTATCCCGTGTTTCCCCTTCAGATGTGTAAGTGTTCACAATCCAGTGGAATACCACCAAAACAAAGAGGAATGGGGAGATTAGGCAGCCTTGTCTGACTCCGGTCCCAAAATGAAGAATTGGAGATAACAATTATTGTCTGCCTCACAAATTCCGGAAGACGTAAACACTTTAAATATAGAAAGTAAACGTCATTTATGTTTGTGTGGTATTCTTAGAAACCATTCGAGTTCAAGATAGCAAAGTCCAGGTTTATTTTAGGTGAGATTCATGAATTTTGATCAATTAGAGTTAACCTTACAGAGAGCTACATATAAATAAGACTTATATACCGTTTAAAACTGGTAACGAAAATAATATCTCACAATCAACCACTGAAGACATCATGATATTAAAAGAAGAATAATCCATTTTGTCATTACTCTATACGAAATATATTTGAAAATCAATCATATAACTACTTATTCATTGAGTGATAAATACTTATCTAATAGTTGAGTTCATGGTTCAGTTAAAGCTAGACCACTATGGAAAATCTGGAAGCACTGGACGACTGTTTCGTCCCAGTATGAGACGACTCAGCAGTGCGCATCCACGCCTCCCCTGCGGGACTTCAATCCTGGACCTTCGATCTCGCGCGCGAGCGCTTAACCTCTAGACCGGTGTGAATGTCTAACTTCAACCAATACCCACATGAGTCAGAAAATTGGCGTCTTCGTTCATAGTCAGTTTCAAATATCGATAGCGTGTGTTGAACAGTGGGGAGTTATCTTCGAACTGTTGGTCCAATGACTAAATGGTGTCCGAGAATGGGCGATCATGTAAGTTTAGAGGCGGAATTAAGTTACAATATCTATCTAGCTCACCAGGAACGAAGCAGCAAGCGAACTTTCCTAGCATCATATTGATTAGCAAAATCAAATTTCAATAAGTCTTCATAACGCTGAAACCACATATCAAGTGTGACATTGGATTAAGGGTCGTAATAAAACTCAGAGATAGTGCTCGCGATACTATCAACTGAAGGTGCAGTAGTAGCAGAATTAGAAATGCTTGGTTATGTGTTAGGCGTAATTTTTTCATCTGCTAACATCTGGATAAGTTTCAGCTGCTGCTCAAGCAGTAATTCCACTTTTAAGGGATTCATGTTTTCACCAGCCTCGTCGCCAAAATTGCTATGTTTGAAGAGATTCCGATTTCACCTAATCTGAGAACGGAACGAAGACTCTGTGACCCAATGGCAGATAAGATAACTATTCTGACGCGTCCCAACCCAGCGAACTAAAGAGAGAGAAGTCCAAGTTTAGAAGAGGGAAATATATTCCACAAACAGCCAGTACCTCGAACAACGACGACAAGCACAAATCAAGCGTATATATAGCATAAAAACGTCCTTGGAAAACGGCACAAAATGGCGTACCAAAAGAGATAACGAACCAATAGCATTTAAGTTCCTCTCAAGTGGGACATATGACATGAAAGTGAAAATAAGCGCTTTTGGCGCGAAAACACGAAATTCAAACTGTTAAAATAGAATGACAAAAATAAGGCATTTACCAAGTCAGTTCAGAAGATCTAACATCCCCAACATGTATAATTTACAACATGCAATCTATGAAGAGCAGTGAAATGCATCGGTTGTAATGTTACTAGCAAGTTTTCAACTTTATTTTATCTCTACTATTTAAACTACTGAATAAATAAAAGTAGTATTATCTTTTAATTTTTTATATTCAATCTACAGGATTATGATCAAGCTATTAAATCTGGTACTTTAAATGGATCAGTTCAACTTTATAGTTTAATTAATAGATCAATCATATATATAGAAAAATGTCAAGATTATCATAAAGCTATAAAGGATTTATATCAAGCTAAAACTATTATGGATAAATTGATGAATTCTACAATTCAAAATGAAACTAACTCAGATTTGTTTATTAAATTAATGTATACAATTGGTATTTGTCATCAAAGGTAAGAAATGATAAGATGATTAAGATGTCAGTAGAAACAGACGGCTTACTTACTTAATTACTTGAGGTTGTTATCCCTCGTGGAGGAACAGAGGTCACCCACCAGTACTCTCTATCCAACCCTGTCCTGGACAATTCTTTTCACTTGCTCCTAGTTATTATTCATCCCTTTCATATCTGCTTCCGATTTCCAATCCAGTATGTCTTATGTTCTTCCTCTTCACCTTCTTCCTCCAGTTAGCGCTTGTTGGAGGTAGTCGACAGGAAACCCTGAACCCGGGTTTCGTGCTACTTGGCACTCCTCAGCGAGGTGTACGTGTAGTCTTGATGGAACTGGTGATCCCTGGCGGATTCAACTTCGTGTCACCTAGCTTCAAAGTCAAAGACGTTACCACTGAGCCATCCGAGCCGCGACCGACCTCCTGTAGGACTGAGATGTAATCACAATTGATTGATCACTGGGTGGCGATCGATAGCATTCGATCTGCACTAATAAGGACTAGACACGCATGACATTGATCGCCACCCAGTGATCAATCAGTTGTGATTAACTCTTGTCTTGTGATGTAGCTTGATGATTCCAGCAATGTATGTCCTAATATCCTCCTGTGACTTCTCCTAATTTCCTCCTCAGTTGGAAGTTGGCTTGTTCTTTACCACAGTAAACTATTGATGATGGTATCCGGCCAAGAGGTACTGAGTATTTTGAGTAGACAAATTGTTTAGAAATACTTGTACTCTTTTAATGATGATTGTGGTAGTTCTCCAAGTTTCAACTGCGTATAGTAGAACTGTCTAGACATGCGTATTGAAGATTCTCACTTTGATATTGGCTTGACGATAGTTGTTTTGAGTCCCATATATTCTTCAACTGTAGGAATACTGCTTTTGCTTTGCGAAAATAGATGAATATTCTTTGCATTTATATCGCGGTTATAACAATATAACCCAATAGAAGAAGTACTGACATTCAAGCATATGATCTGACCACACAAATTTGGTTTTTAAAATCAATGAACTAAAACATCAGCACCACTGTATACTAGCTCAGTAGTGTAGAGGTTAAGTGTTCGTGTGGAGAGACTGAGAGTTCCTAGGTTGGAATCTCAGGAAGGCAACGGGATCATGGATACGCACTGCTGAGGAGTTCTATACTAGGACAAAACAGTTATCTAGTTCTTCCAGGTTATCTATGGTAGTCTAGCTTGAATTGACTCATCCGTAAACACAAGTATCATTTGAGTTCGTTCTTGTTATATTCCCTTTTACTCATTATATTACTATTATTATTATTATTATTAGACTTGAAATGTATCCTGAAGCCGAACAGATATTGCATAATTTAACAATTCAACAACCAAATTTTTTAAAAGGATATATTGCATATGCTAATTGTTTAATGGATTATGAAGGTTATAAAATCAAAATGAATGAAACAAATTCCATAAATCTTTGGAATCAAGCATTGAATGAATATGAATTCGCTTTAAAATTAGATAAATACAATTTAGAAGCAAGTATTGGTTTATCAATGTGTTTACAGGTAAATAGAAAGTTTATATGTTATAATGATGTTATATAAAATAAATGATTCGGGTCAGTATAAGGTGATGGAGTTAACCTTTGTCGGGTAGAGACGGGTATCTCTACCTTAGTGCAAACCAATGGTGTACATGGGCTCCAGTATCCTGCGGGAACAAATGACATATGAACCAATCGTTGGTCACCGGCTTCCATGGGACTGCATCTCCTTACGATGCTCCACTGCCTTGTGGGTTAGACCTTTAGGTCAAAGGCTCGGGGTGTGGCCCCTTAAGATAACCACCTGCTTCGGTCTGGGCACCCGGGCAGTATCACAGCCCTCACACATATCGAACGAGATTTGTGTGGCGCATATGTATTTGGTGCCTCCTTGTACCAATATCTATGTGGTAAAATAAATAAATAAATAACTCAGTGCAATGGATGATGGTCACACAGTTTTGTGGATTGGTTGAGGTTAGACATGGACATCATTGGATGCCTACTCAGTGGTCTAAAGTTTAAGCGTTTGAGCGCAAGACGGAAGGGCTTGGGTTTGAATCTCGTGAGTGGGATTGTGGATGCGTACTGCTGTAGGAGTTTCACAATAAGAGGGAACGGTCGCCCAGTGCTCTCAGGTTTTCAATGGTGATCTAATATCTATCAGTTCATGATCTCAATTAAATAATTAGTAAATGATTGTAATAAATAGAGGATAACAATAATGGATAGAGAACAAATTATCCAATTCATGGGTCAATTAAAGTTGAACCAACATAGAAGTACTGGACGACCGTTTCACCCTAGTATGAACCTCTTCAGAAGTGCCCATCTACGATGTCACTTGCGGATATCTACTGCTTACAGGTTTTTCACGGTGATCTAGCTTTAATCGACTCGTGAATTCAACTATTATATTACTAAAATCTCTGCAAAACTCCCTTCTGATAACAATCATAGTACTAATGTTGAGTAAAAATGTATTTGAAAGTATCATTTAAGCGGGATGAATAAAACTAGCAATAGAAAGTGTAAAACAAATGAGAAGGACCGCAAGTTTTAGAGTGAGATAAACAAGAACGTGTGGTACTATTTTGGTGTATGCTACTGATGTCAACAGATATAAGTAGTAGGTATCACCACTCGGAAGTGGAATGCCTGATAGTAGACTTACTTACTTACACCTGTTACTCCCAATGTAGCATAGGCTGGCGACCACCATTCTCCAACCTACTCTGTTCTGAGCCTTCTATTATAGTTCTATCCAATTGTTGTTCATTCTTCTCATGTCGGTCTCCATTTCCCGGCGTAATGTGTTCTTTGGTCTTCCTCTTCTCTTTTGGCCCTGAGGATTCCAGGTGAGAGCTTGCCTTGTGACACAGTTGGGGGCTTTCCTCAATGTGTGTCCTATCTACTTCCATCACTTCTTCCTCCGCTGGCATCTGGTTTGTTCTCTCTCACAGTAGGTTGCTGCTGATAGTGTCTGATCAACGGATCCGAAATATTTTGCGTAGACAACCGTTAATAAACACCTATATCTCCTGGATGATGGCTTTCGTAGTTCTCCAGGTTTCCGCGCCATACTCAACTAGACGATAATATAAACTTAAACATCATCATACCATTAATTTATATTTAATTAACCAATAAACGTGTTCTGTAATAAACAAAAACATATTCTGCATAATTCTCATGATTCACAATTTCTTTCTAATTCTGTTACTATTTTCTTCAAGTCGACCTAGACTTCCACTGTCAAAGTTTTGACTTCCTATTGGTGTTACATACTTCTGGAGTAAATTATAGTATGGTCAAACATACTGGTACAATCGAGAATGGTGAGAGTCAGATCTCTTTCTCAAAATCCTTTCATATGGCCACGTGCATACAACCACTGTTATGGAAGTCCTACTCACTGCCTTCTCGTGGCATTACTGTTCTTCACGAAATCGAAAAGACGAAAAGCGAATGTTCGGATCTCTAACCGGGTTGGTAGATACAGAAGGTTCATTTAGAGAAGTCAGAAAAATCCTGATCCCAAACCAGTAGTGCATATGGTCTCTAGCATCCTAAGGAAACAAAAGTGGTATGAAGCTATTGTTAGTCATTGGCTACCATATTTCACTGCCTTTCGATCAAAGGCTTAAAGAATGGCCTCCTAAGAGAATAACCTGCTTCGATTTGAGCGCCAGGGCACAGATACAGAAGGCTCTGACTAGCTTTTGCCAACTTTCATCATTTATAGCGCAGGCGAGATATCCGTCTACCAACCAAAGGACGTGTTTACTGCGCAGCAGTTCGTTTCGTCCTACTTTATGGAAGTGAAACATGACCGGCAAGAGTAGAGGATATTCGTAGGTTACTAGTATTCGATCATAGGTGTCTTCGAAACATTGCTCGTATATCCTGGGACCATCGAGTAAGTAATGCAGTTGTTAGGAAACGGGTACTAGGTAAGGATGGAAAATTAATTGATGAAGGTAGTGAAGCTTCATCAGTTGAGATGGCCGGAACATGTGTTACGTATGCCCAACCATCAACTGCCCCGACGTGTGAGGTAGGAGTAGGTTGGAAGAAAGTTATGGACGGCCGGACCAAAACATGGAACAAATCCATGAAGCCACTGACAAGTGGACTGAGCAATATTGATAGGTGTAGACTATCTAGTTAGGATCCACGAGACGATAGTAACCGATGGTTAGAGACTTTGAATGTGATATGGCTCAAAATCTTTTGCAATGGTGCAGGTGGATCCACTTTTTGTGTCCTCCCAAATTCTAATCTTCTGAATTCTCCATGTCCGGTTCTTTTTGTCTCTCTTTCGAAATTTATTTCACTAGATTATACTCCTTGAATAACATCTTCAAATCCTAATGTTTTCGATTACTGTTTATACTCTTACTACCTCTGTCACTATGGGATTTGAATCAACAATTGTATCTGTGTGCTAATGTGGTATGGCAACTTGAAGTGATGTACGTACGTACGGTGTTCTGCGTTGTCACTGACTGACTGGCTGACTGACTGAAATAACAAAGTGTGACATATATGTATTTGGTTCCTCTTTGTACTAACGCTTATATCAGAAGGGGTTTGTGGAGACTTTTTAGAAATTTCACAGATTTTAAATCATGAGTCAGTTGAAGCTAAACCACCATGGAAAACCTGGAAGCACTGGATGGCCATTTCGTCCTAGTATGGAACTCCTCAGCAGTGCATACCCACGATCCCGCACCCCGCGAGATTCGAACCCAGGAGCTATCAGTCTCGCGCCAGGCGCTTCCAGTACCTTCAGGTTTTAAATGGTTGTCTAGCTTCAATTAACTCATGATTTCAATCTGTGTAATGTTTATATGTTTAAATAATAACAATAATACATACATACATACGTACTACTTACGTCAACAGACATAAGTAGTATATACCATAGTTAATTCCTTTAGTAAAACAACTTATAAACAATGAAGTAAAATGTTTATCCCATTTTTTTCAGTATTAAGAAGAATAATCATAATTATCATAACAGTAATGATAACAATAATCATCACAATAGTGCACGCAAATCCAGGTCTCATCTACTTTTTGTTATAAGTTTGTTTGTTTGTTTGTTTATTTTTGTTTACTATTGGGGAAATAAACACCCCCCTTATGCAGATTGAACATATATATATATGGAATAGATACACATTGTATAGAATATAGTAGCCAAGACAACAAACTGAATAACAATAATAAGGAACTATCCGTTTGAAATTGATTAGTTCGTAGATTGTCTAGAAAAAAAAAACCAAAAGAAAAATAATAAATGAACTGGGGATTTTGGAAAAATTTTATTTAACTATTGATCAGAATGAACTTTTCAACAAAAATGACGACGACAACGACGACGACGACAATGACGAAAAAGGAAAAGAAGTTTATCTAAACAAAACAAAACAAAAAATAAATAAATAAATATCATAAGAGTTTGTTATTATGGATATTATAATTAGTTTTAATAGTTGAGATCATGAATCAATTTAAAAGTAGATCATCATAAAAAAACCCTGGAAACGTTAGACATTCGTTTTGTTCTAATGTGAGAATCGTCGGTAGAATGTATTCATAAAGTCGTTATCTATCAGTTTCACGTATGAATATTTAACCTTTAAACCATTGAGATAACCGACATCTAACGGTGTTAATGTTTAACTTCAATCAATTCACGAAATTAAGCCACCATCCATTATTGTCATCAGTGAGTTACTATCTCACAACAGATCCGGTTGAACTTCACAAGTCAATTCTTCTCATTAGAACTCCAGGAAATACCTCTTGAAGTCAGTCACTAGTAAGTATATGCTAGTTAGTATCAGGAAGGGTTTTTTACGGATATGATAGTAATTCTTTTAATCATTGAGATCATAAGTCAATTGAAGCTAGACCACTATCAAAAAACCTAGAAGTACTAGATGGTTGTTTCGTCATATTTTGAGACTTCTCGATAGAGCCTATTCATCATATCGCCACGTGAGATTCGAATCTAGAACCTATCAGTTTCACGTATGAATGCTTAATCTCTAAGCCACTGAGATAGCTGACATCTAACGGTGTTAATGTTTAATTTCAACTAATCCACAAAATTGAGTGATACATCCACCATTGTCATCAGCGAGTTACTATCTCACAACAGATCCGGTTGAACTTCACTAGTCAATTCTTCTCATTAGAACTCCAGGAAATACCTCTTGAAGTCAGTTACTAGTAAGTATATACTAGTTAGTATCAGGAAGGGTTTTTTATGAATATGATAGTAATTCTTTTAATCATTGAGATCATAAGTCAATTGAAGCTAGACCACTATCAAAAAACCTAGAAGTACTAGATGGTTGTTTCGTCATATTTTGAGACTTCTCGATAGAGCCTATTCATCATATCGCCACGTGAGATTCGAATCTAGAACCTATCAGTTTCACGTATGAATGTTTAATTTCAACTAATCCACAAAATTGAGTGATACATCCACCATTGTCTTCTCATTAGAACTCCAGGAAATACCTCTTGAAGTCAGTTACTAGTAAGTATATACTAGTTAGTATCAGGAAGGGTTTTTTATGAATATGATAGTAATTCTTTTAATCATTGAGATCATAAGTCAATTGAAGCTAGACCACTATCAAAAAACCTAGAAGTACTAGATAGTTGTTTCGTCATCTTGTGAGACTCTTCAGCAGTACACATCCATAATAAATAAATAATTAGTCTATAAAACTGATAAATACTACTTACTTATAAAGAATTCATTGTTTTCAAGTATACAAGCTAATGATAATAATAAATAAATCAATGAAATCAACAATACTATGCATATATCACTAAAGGGGTCATTGAATTATTCTTATTTTGTTTTGTTAAAGGGGTAACGCCTGTATAGATATTTGATAATTGTTTATTCATTCAATTTGTTTATTTATTAGACAATAATAAGTATACAGTATCATAGAGATAAACATAGACAATACCTTATATACACGCACACACACACACACGCACAAAATGTACTATCATAATAGAAAGTATTGAGTTCGTTTATTTATATGTAAATATCATTATAAATTCACTGGATATTGTTTACTTGTATCGTCTCATTGTTATTTAAGAATGCAATTGATCATTCTCATATTGTACATCCGGTGCGGATTGTCTCGATATAGTCTTAATACATAAGCTTTTTTAGACATAGATGGATAATGGTTAACAGTCACAATTGATTGATCACTGAGTGGTGATCAATCTCATGCTTGTCTAGTCCTTATTAGTGCAGATCGAATGCTATCGATCATGTTGCAATGTGACCAACAGTCTAGGTGACTCGACACTGCGGGCACTATGTATTGAGATTAGATGGTGGTTGGAGGTAGTTGACAGGAAACCCTGGACCCGGGTTTCGTGCTACTTGGCACTCGTCAGCAAGGTGTACCTGTAATCTTGAGGGAACTGGTGCTCCCTGGCGGATTCGATCTCGTGTCACCCAGCTTCACAGTCAGAGACGTTACCACTGAGCTATCCGAGCCGTGACTGACCTCCTGTATGACTGAGATGGTTAACAGTGGAATCCTGTTTGGAGCGTGTTTCGTCTTATTTGGAATTGATCAGTTGAATGTATTTGTATCTAAGAGTTGATGTTTACTCTGAGATTCAGTAGCTAAATGAATCGTTCGATAGCATTTGAAGTGAACAATACTGGGTTCAAGTTCTGGTTGAAGTAAATATCAACTCTAGGATTCAGATATATCCAACTGACGAGTTCCGAATAGAACGAAACGTGCATCCTGAATTATGCTTATAGATTTTTTGTTATGATAAACATTTGTTTACTTTGAAAGATCAATTTTTTTGAAAGTTGTTGACTCTCTTTAAGTGAGAGCCTATTATATATTCAGTTAACAGTTGAGCATATTAACCAGCCAATAGATCCTTGATTGATTCTGAATAAACAATGGCTGATCGATTGTCTTGAAACTACTTATATATTGATTAGAATAGAACACAACACAGCGTGGAGATTCAGATGGTTCAGGCTAGTCTACTTGGTCTCACCTATCGTACAATCAACACAATATGACTATCATCATACTGTGAATGAACATTCTGTTACCAGAAGCATCATTAAACATATTGATTAGAATAGAATAGAAATTATTGTAAAAGTTAAGCAATAAATTCTTGATTGTTTATTATAATCAAATGATGGAAACAACTTAGACAATAAACAAGAATCTAGGAGTCTGCTAATCCAATAGGGTTACCCTGCGTGGGTTCGAATCCCATCCCTGTCGCCGAATTCGCTAGGTTTGAAGTGGTTATGAGTTCACTTAATCCGTGAACGGAACAAACACTCAGTGACCAAAGACCAATAAGCTATATATTCGATGCGTCTCGGCTCCGCTAACTAGAGGAAGAAGTCCAAGATCGAAATAGGGGAAGTATAATTTGCAAAAGCCAGAAACAAGCGATAACAACAACATATATATACAGCAAAAAACTGTCCTTGGGGAGAGTTACAAAATAACATACTAAAAGACACAACGGACCAATGACACTTAAGATTCTTCCAAGTGGGAAATACGACATGAAGGTGGAAAGAGCTCTTTTGGCTCGAAAACAAAGAAATTCAAATTTTCTAAATCAAATTACAAAATTAGGTCCTTATCCAAGTGAGTTCTGGGGATCTAACGTCCCCAACAGAGTCCCATAGTAGAACCAAAATGGTCATCCAGTGCTTCCAAGTTTTCCATGGTGGTCTAGTTTCAATTGACTTATGATCTCAACTATTAAAATTACTATCATATCCACAAAAACCCCTTCTGATATAAGAACTAATAGTTTGAAATTAGTCTAGTCAAATATGTTTTTCCCAAAGTTCAAATGGTCTTCTTCAAAGTTTTGGGAAATTTGGGGGGGGGGCGTTCCATTTCTCCGAAATTCCCCCAAAACGGATAAAAAGTTATCGTTTTTTCACTATTCATCTCAAACTAAGGGGTTCTCTGTTAACAATATGAAGCCTATCAACAACAACAAAAAACTGTAAAACAATGAGTTATGTCATTTTTGGACTTGATTCACTTTTAAAATACTGTACGATTAGTTGATATCTTTGTTTCTTTCGGAATAATAGTTATCCAATCAGCTTTTATGTCTTAGTATGGTCGACCTCTAGATGCTCCGACATGGCCGAAAGTGGGGAAAGTTCGCTCTGTCAAGAACTGTTCTCACATGTTCATGCGTATGCAACCACTGGCAGTAAAGTTGTACTTACTGTCTTCTTGTGGCATTACTGTTGTTTACGAAATTGAGAGGAAAAACCGCAAATGTTCGACACTTTAACCGAGTTGGTGGACCCACTTAGTTCACCTAGAAGAGTTGGAAAACCCTTATTCTAAACCAATGGTACACATGCACTCCAGTATCTTAAAGGAACAAATGACGTATGAACCTATTGTTGGTCACCAGTTACCATGGAACCGCATCTCCTGACGTTGCTCCACTGCCTTGTGGATCAAACCTTTAGATCGAAGGCTTCAAGTGTGACTGCTTAAGAAAACCATCTACTTCAATCTGGGTACCCAGGCAGTATCACAACCCACACATATATATATCAAGTGACTTATATGGCTCATATCTATTCGGTACCCCTTTGTATTAATATTTATATTTTCAAATAAATGATATTGTATCCCGCTTTTAATTTGACCTTCAGGTTCTAGGACGTTTAAATGATGCATTAAAACAAATTACACATACTTTAAATATTTATTATGATCATCATGAATCTAATTATAATGAATTAACAAATGAGAAACACAATAAATTACTAGCTGATGCCTATGATTGTAGAGGTATTATATATTTACAACTTGGTAGATTTCAATATGCTATTGATGATCTTACAAATTCAATTCGTTTAAATCGTTATTCAACAAAATATCTAATTAATCGTGGTGTTGCATATTTTTGTAATCATCAACTTATGCCTGCTATGATTGATTTCAAGTAAGCTATATATAGATTATAATTATCTGATGAATGCCGTTTAAGTAATGTAAATTATATAGTTATATTCATGGTCTACGAGGGTGCTTGGTACCTGTGTGGTTGTGCCACAGGATTGAACTGTACTATTTAGATTGTAGCGTTAAAGCCTATACGATGTCTAGTTCTCTTGTGAAGCGGGATTGAGCTGTACTATTTGGGTTGTCACGTGAAAGTCTGAATGGTGTCTGGTTCTCCTGAAAACCAATATCAAATTACCCTGGTCCACAAGAGCATATTATATTATATAATTATTTATGAGTCAATTAAAGCTAGATCATTATGAAAAACCTGGAAGAATTGGATGGCCGATTCATCGTGGTATAGGATTCCTTAGTAATGCGCACCCATGATCCCACCTGTGAGATCTGGAGAGTCAACTCAGATTTGATTGATCTGCATAAACTATTTTCATTTATTATGAAAATCCTTAACAGTTCAGACTATCTATCATGAGATTTCGTGCCAAAAAAAGATACTGTTTAATGAATTATGAATGGACACTTCTTATAACGTTGTAACATCTTGAATCTAACTCCTAGATATAAACAGAATCAATACTGTTAATAACGTTTTTAACTTCTACTGAAATCGACAAAGAATGAAAGAGTTTTAAAAAATACGTAGTACTAGAGTGCTACTTTGTCTACCGTTGTAAAAACAGTTCACCAATGTACATCTACAATGGGATTCTATTTAACATACTTTGTGCTCGTAATTGGCAGGATAAACATAGACCAATTGCAGTGGTTACCTGTACGAAATGCAGTCAATTCATGTGATGTGCAACCATAATTTGAATACAATTACTGAGTAAATATTTCACTTCCACAAGGAGTTTTACTGTAGCAATCACACTATTTTACTAAAACATCAGAAACTTTATTAATAGTAAGTGCATTGTTGTTGTGCAGTTAGGACGTTTTCGAAGACAACCTACTTACTTACGCCTGTTATACCTCATGGAGGAGCATAGGTTGCCCAGAAGCATTCTCCTTCCAACTCTGTCCTAGCCAATCCGTCCCAGTTGTTATTCATCCTTTTTATGTTTGCTTCCGATTCCTGATGCAGTGCATTCTTTGGCCTTCCACTTCACCTTCCTCTTTCAGAATTCCAAGTTAACGCTTGCTTCGTGATGCGGCTTGATGATTCCCGAAGTGTATGTCTTACACAATTCCAACATCTTTTCCTAATATCCTCTTCATCTGGAAGTTGGTTTGTTCTCTACAACAGTAGGCTGTTGCTGATGGTATTCGGCCAACAGACACTGAGTATCTTGAGTAGACAATTGTTTAGAAATACTTGTACTCTTTTGATGATGATTGTGGTAGTTCTCCAAATTTCAGCTCCGTACAGTAGAACTGTCTAGACAGTTGACTTGACGATAGTTGTTTTGAGTCCCATATATTCTTCAACTGTAGAAATGCTGTCCTTGCTTTGCTAATCCTCGCACTCGCGTCTGCATCAGATCCTCCCTGTTCATCGATGATGCTGACAAGGTATGTGAATGTTTTCACCTATTCCAGAGCCTCGCCATCAAGTGTGGTTGGGTCTGTGTTCTCCGTGTTGTATTTGAAGATCTTGCATTCGCCCTTGTTTATGTTGAAACCTACTGATGCAGAGACTGCTACTACACTGGTTTTCTGACCAACATTTGTTCGTGTGTAGAAGGAGCAGGTCATCTGCGAAGTCTTACTTTTCCAGTCGATTCCGAGCTGTCCTTTGTATTCCGTGCTTCCCATCACATTCGAAGGTCTTCATAATCCAGTCGACCATTACCAGAAGAAAAGGGAATGGAGGAGGGTAAGTAGCCTTGTCTGACTCCGTCTTGAATCTTGTCCAGGGTTTCTATAGAGATTCATTCATTATGACGATACCTCATTCGGCCTAAAACCTCCTGACACATTGAAGTCAATGCTTCTTTGATCTCCATCTAGTTCTCCTCCACATTAGTTTCTCCTTCTTCTTTGAGTAAATCTTGAAGGGCTTACAATGTGTTGTTGAGAGTTATCTTGAATTGGTTGCGTTTGTCAGTATGTCGAAAGAAGGTTGTATTGAACATTTGCAATGCTGTTTCACCAGTTGTCCAGTGTTTCTTTAGCTTCAACCAGGCTACAACCAGGTGGTGATGTGGAGCTATTTCAGCTCGTCTCCTAGTTCTCATGTCATTCATGGATCTTCCTGGTGTTTTGTTGATGCCAATGTGATCCAGTGAGATAAATGTGGCTTTGTGTATGAGTTTGTGTCGCCTATAACCAATTTGTTGGATGCATATATATTTGCAAATCTGTCACCATTCTTGTTAGTTCCTCCCAGCCAATCCATGTCGTCCGATGATATCGTCATATCCGGTGTCATGAATCCCGACTTTGACGATTAGGTCTCCCATCAGGATGATCAGATTCTTTCTTGGGCACTTTGCTATGATCGATCGCAGCCTCCTATAGAACTGATCTTCATCGTCATCATTGTCATCCTTGATGGGTGTATAACACTGGATAACATTCATCGTGATCCCCTCCTTCTTTGTTTTGAAGGATGTTTGATGATCCTTGATCCATCAGATTCCCACTCAATAAGTGCATTTCGTGCTTCTTCGGACAGAATCAAAGCAACTTTCTGAGCATGTGGAGAATCTTCCTTTCTGTGAACCAAGTACAGCAGCATCTCTCCCGAATCTAGCATTTGCTGTCCAGCTTGAGTCCATGGATTTCACTCATTCCGACCACCGCCAGTTTCTAAATCCTCATTTCCTTTTCTATTTGACTAATCCTTTTAGTCTCCCACATTGTCCGACCATTGCATGTACCTGTATCAATTGTTGCTCTGGTTGTTAGAAGGGGCGTCGTACTCGTAACTTCCGAAGAATCTTGACTTTCATCATATGGCTTCATAAATCGTCCTTCAACTCGGAGGATAGAGTTTAAACGGTTTAATTCGTTAAATCTGTTTAGTAGTCAATCAGTCAGTCAGTCAGTTACAACGTAGGACCAGGCACCTACAAGTTGTCACACCTTATTAGCAATATTGCTTTTTATGGAATGTGATTACTGACCTCATCAGTCAGTCAGTCAGCTACAACGTAGGACCAGGCACATATGTGCATCGGTCCAGGTTGCCATACCTCATTAGCACAGCAAGATGAACAGCGGATTCATAGGAGTGGTTAGGTCAAAGGTTGCAATCAGGATATTGTATAGGAAGAAAGAATTAGTTCGTAGACAGAAAGAATGAAGTGATTTTAGTCTCTTAGTTTAAGGGAAGACAGAGAGTGTATACACCGACGCCATTGTGATCGATTCTGAACCGTGTCACATACAATCTCCAATCATTGGTTATGATAGTCACATGGACTCCAACCAAGTAGTCTGCATCTACCAACATGGCTCAGACCTCATACTCAACCGTTCTCCCTTTATCCTGGCTTAAAACCGTCAATAACTCTAGAAAACCTAAAAACGGAGTTTCTTTTTCTTCAATGACCTTTTCAAACTATATATTCTTTACACTTATGATTATCCTTTATTCAATGAATCAATTCTCTTCTGATTACATTATAGATATGCTAATCAACTTGATTCTACCAATAATTTAGTTTATTATCATCAAGCATTAATTTATTTACATCATGGACAATTTGAACAAGCTGAAAATCGAATCAATCTAATTATAAACATAAAACAATCACTATCATTTATCACTAATCAATTACAATCAATATGTTTAGATCCAAGTGTATGGTTACTAAGATCAATCATTAAATTGATGAAATATAAATCGAATGATTATTATGATTCTATATTGAATGAAGCATTAAATGATGCCTGTTATGCGGAACAATTAATAGTACCGAAATTAATGAATGAATTAACTAATTGGCCACATTTACATTATACTAAAGGACAAATATTATATAAATTAAAAGATTATATAAAAGCTGATGAAGAATTTACAAAAGGTAAGAAAGTATTTTCATAGTTACCGTTATGGGTTACCGTTATGGGTCAAAGTGATTTTATATTGATTTTTCCCAGAGAACCAGATACTATCTAGACTTTTGTAATGTGACGTTGAGTTGCGGTTGACTATGATCATCACTACAAGAAAATTGTGTATCAGATATCAGAAGACGATTGGAAGTTGTATCGAGGTATATTTGTTGGCGATCTCATGATATCGAAAGAATATCGAGATCGTGCCAAAAGAGTATAAACGGAATCATTGAGCAAATGTAAGTTCGTGCAAGGTCACAATCAACAGAAGGATGAATAAAAGAATAATGAATGTCTTTAGTACAGTTAAACAAACAAGTAAAGTAGAACGATTGGTTATAATAATAATTGCCTCCATTAAACCAATCACGTTCTCTTGATAAAAGTAGGTCACTACACTTTCACTGACAAGTAGACTGAGCCGTGTTGATAGATGTAGACTATTCAGCTAGGATCTACGAGACGATAGTAACCGATTGTTAGAGACTTTGAATGTGACATAGCTCAAAATCTTTTGCAATGGTGTAGGTTCATCCACTCTTTGTGTCCTCCCAAATTCTAATCTTCTGAATTCTCCATGTCCAGTTCTTTTTGTTTCTCTTTCGAAATTTATTTCACCAGATTATGCTCCTTAAATAACATCTTCAAATCCTAATCTTTCCGATTACTGCTTATACGCTTACTACCTTTACCACTATGGGATTTGAATCAACAATTGTATCTGTGTGCTAATGTGATATGACAACTCGAACTGATGTATGTACGTACAGTGTTCTGCGTTGTTGTTGTTGACTGACTGACTGATTCATGAGACAATCCAAAAAGTACAACTTAATCCTGTTTAAAAGGATAGCCAAACACTGCTGAGGCTTAACTCGAGTAGTATAGCTCAATTCTGTTTAATAGAAGAGTTAGATATTACCCAGGCTTAAAATTTGTTAACCAAATAGTATTGTTCAATCTTGTTTAATAAGACAAACAGGATTTTCAAGTTCTAATGATTGATCTGGTTGATGTTTATCTATAGGATAACGTTTTAACTAAGATTTCTATTCATTAGGTAATGAGGGACTTGAAAACATAGTTTTATCTGTAATAAGATCAAAGATTATATTCACGACTTTCAAATATCACAGTATTTGCTTTAAATGTAGATTATTGAATTACAATCTATACGGCCACTCTCAGGAAAGTCTTACTCAATGCCTTCTCGTGGCATTACTGTTCTTTATGAAATTGAGAAGACGAAAAGCGAATGTTCGGTGCTTTAACCGAGTTGCTGAATATGAAGGATTTACTTACGTGAGTTAGGCTCCAGGATCCTAAGAAAACAAATGGCGCATGAACCAATCGATGGTCACAGATTACCATGGGACTGCATCTCCTTACGTTACTCTGTTGCCTTATGGATTAGACCTCCAGGTTAAAATTTCGAGGTGTGGCCCCCTAAGACAATCACCTGTTTCTGTTTGGGCACCCGTTCAGTATAACAGCGCTCACACAAAGCGAATGATAACTACTACTAGCCTCATTGTTATTGTGTGTCGCACATGTAACCACTAGAAAACTCTACTTACTACCCAATAATTTATGGACATCATCAATAAATTAATCTCTAAGGCTTCCTACAGATGCCCCCTTCCACCCAAACAAGTTAGTGAATTCTTCTGGAGAGAAACAGGCCACATCTAAGCACGTCACAACTACCGGGGCTAGAATAACTGTTTTTGCAACCAGTTAGAGTTTACCCCGCGAGGAGGAACCTCGTACATTAAATACACCACTTTTCTCGGTGTTTTGTCTTTTTTTTGCATGTAAGAGCAACTGTGCTGTGTTTCTTTGTGTAAAGTTCGTAATCGATTTGAGGGTATCGGGTACACTACCTTACACCAATCTGTTCGTTATTGTTCCCCTTTTCTTTCACGCTCCTTATTTTTTTTCCTTGTCTTTAAATTCTCATTGTTTTGTGTGGCGCATATATATTTGGTGCTCTCTTGTACCAATATTTATGTGTTCAAATAAATAAATATCGGTCGAGTAGGTAATTAGCTCGATCTCTACTACCCAGGTTACCGCTGATGTTCAATCAGTCAGTCAGCTACAACTATTCAATGTAGTATTATGGATAAACCTTCACAATGAGTACTAGTAAGATTTTTTCTACTGATTTACTCAAAGTATCTAATTCTGATTTCGTCTGAAATTCGGTATAGCTTTTAATATACCCAAAATTAGCTTTCAGTCAGTCAGTCAGTCAGCTACAACGTAGGACCAGGTACATTTATGCATCGGTTCAAGATGCCATACCGCATTATCACAACAAGATGGACACCGGATTCATAGAAGTAGTCACTTCAATGGTAGAAATATACAAAAGAAAGATTGCATGTAAGAATATAGTACAGGAAGAAAGAATTAGTTCGTAGAAAGAAAGATACGAAGCGGTTTTAATCTCTTAGTTTAAGGAAAGACAGAGAGTGTATACACCAACGCCATTGTGATCGATTCTGAGCCATGTCACTCTCAGTCTCCAACCATTGTTTACGATAGTCACGCGGACCCTAACCAAGTAGTCTGGATCTACCAACATAGCTCAGACTAGAAGTTAATGTCTTCAAGCACTGATGCAACGTTTTGGTTTGGCCTCCATTAAGTTTCTTCTCCAATACCGATTAGCATTGCATTTTGTGATAATCGGTGTTCAGGTATACGTAACACATAGCCCAACCATCTCAGTCGATGAAAATTTACAACCTCATCAACTGATTTACCATCATCATTCCATAATACCCTGCCCATCTAACCTCACAATTACTTACCTAGTGATTCCAGAAGATACTAGCAGACGTAGCGGCAACTGCAAGGATACTCCACATTCTCTTCAATAAGATTTGGGATGGGGAACAAGTACCAAAAGACTGGAAAGAAGGACTCCTGATCAAAATACCGAAGAAAGGCGATCTCAGCAAGTGTGATAACTACAGGGGCATCACTCTTCTCTCAATACCGGGAAAAGTCTTCAACAGAGTATTGTTAAACAGGATGAAGGACTGCGTAGACGTCCAACTTCGTGACCAACAGGCAGGATTCCGTAAGGATAGATCGTGTACAGACCAAATCGCAACTCTACGGATCATTGTGGAACAATCAATTGAATGGAATTCATCACTCTACATCAACTTCATTGACTACGAAAAGGCATTTGATAGCGTGGACAGAACAACACTATGGAAACTTCTTCGACACTACGGCGTGCCTCAGAAGATAGTCAATATCATACAAAACTCATATGATGGATTACACTGCAAAATCGTGCATGGAAGACAGTTGACAAAGTCGTTCGAAGTGAAGACCGGTGTTAGGCAAGGTTGCTTACTCTCACCCTTTCTCTTTCTCCTGGTGATCGACTGGATCATGAAGACGTCAACGTCTGAAGGAAAGCGCGGGATACAATGGACATCTAAGATGCAGTTGGATGATCTAGACTTCGCAGACGATCTGGCCCTTCTATCCCAAACGCATCAACAGATGCAGGAGAAGACGAACAGTGTGGCAGCAGCCTCAACAGCAATAGGTCTCAATATACACAAAGGGAAAAGCAGGATTCTCCGATACAACACAGAATGCACCAATCCAATCACAATTGACGGAGAAGATTTGGAAGATGTAAAAACCTTTACGTATTTGGGCAGCATCATTGATGAACAGGGTGGATCTGATGCAGATGTGAAGGCGCGGATCAGCAAAGCAAAAGCAGCATATTTACAACTGAGGAACATCTGGAACTCAAAGCAACTGTCAATCAACACCAAGGTCAGGATTTTCAATACAAATGTCAAGACCGTTCTACTGTATGGGGCAGAAACCTGGAGAATTACAAAAGCCATCATCCAGAAAATACAAGTGTTTATTAACAATTGTCTACGCATAATACTTCAGATCCATTGGCCGGACACTATTAGCAACAACGTACTGTGGGAGAGAACAAACCAGATCCCAGTGGAGGAAGAACTCAGGAAGAAGCGCTGGAAGTGTATAGGACACACATTGAGGAAAGCACCCAACTGTGTCACAAGACAAGCTCTCACATGGAATACTGATGGTCAAAGGAAAAGAGGAAGACCAAAGAACACATTACGCCGAGAAATGGAGATAGACATGAGAAAAATGAACAAGAATTGGATGGAACTAGAAAAGAAGGCCCAGGACAGAGTGGGCTGGAGAATGCTGGTCAGCGGCCTATGCTCCATCGGGAGTAACAGGCTTAAGTAAGTAAGTAAGTACTAGCAATTTTATGTTAGTTCATAAATCATTCATCCCACTATCCATGAGAGTTCAAGGATGCAGAAATATGAGTCAAATTTCATCTCCCTTCCTACAAATACTTTCTTTTTTATCTTCAATTACTACTTAAATAAAAGAAGATTGATTTATCATTACAAATTTATAGATTATTATTATTATTATTATTTTCATTATAAATTTTCAATCGGCATAATTCTATACAGACTTGAAGTTGTTTTTTTCCCCTTCTACAATTATCATTATCATCTTTGTTATTCATACTGATAATATCAATTAGGGTAGTAATAATAATAATAATCATAGTCAATGGGTTTGTCTCGAACACTTTCATTCATCAATTCTATCGAATAAAGAATATATAGATAGATATAGATACAGAGAGATATGCGTGTACGTGCGTGCGAGTGAGTGAGTGGGTGCACTCGGACCTGCGTACCTGCATGTATGCGTGTGTACTGATTTATATGTTGCTATGACCGTTCCCTCTCTCTCTCTCTCTCTCTCTCGCAAAAAAAAACGAAAAAAACTTTAAAAAACAAAAAAAAATCAAAAAAAATATCTCTACAATATTGGTTTATATTAATTTTATACTTCTATATAGATTACATAGAAACTAACGTATATGTTATTAATACACGCCCTAATAATAAATAAATAAATG